AAATCAGAACCTCTTGTAAAATCATTGTAATGCCACAAAACGGTCGTGTTGGAAAGTAGAAACGGTGATGCGCCACTCGGCAGGGAGAGCAATTGAGGAAGGTTTAAAACGGTGCTTGCAATATCTGTAATTCTTTAGTGGGTTCCTTGCAGATGTGTATTTGATTTGGAGACATGATGCAAAAAAAAAACACATTTAATTCGGGGATGCGATGCAGAGGGATGCGATGCAGCCACACTCTTTATGCAATCAACTCATTACGGTTGCTACAGATAGTCCTCGAATTATGATCTATTTATTTTATTTATTCATTAGAATTTGTCAAAAAGAAACGAGAACAAGAATAAAAGGGAAAAAAATACAATGGCGGCGGGGGGGGAGATAGGCATGTTAGGGCACCTACGCACGCCTCCTCTACTGACCCCTTAAGTATGAAGTAAGGTCCACGGAAGTCCATTTGTGACTGAAACTGTGAAAATTTGTACCTGAGACAACTGGATCAGGTAGGGCATTCCAGACTTCGACAACTCTATTACAGAAATCATATTTTTTACAGTCAAGTTTGGAACGATTTACACTGAGTATAAAGTGGTTGTTAGCGCAGGTATTATTGCGAGTAAAACAAAACAAAAAAAGTCATTTACTGCTTATAATTTTGTATGCAATACCTAGATCTGACCGCAAGCGATGCAGTTCTAAGGTATCCAAACCGAGAATTCTGAACCACGTATAATAGGGAATTCTGTAGTGTACAAAAGAGTGCAAGATTTTTCTCATTAAATATTTTTGAACCTGCTCGATTGTCCTGAGGTCAGATATATGGGAGGAATTCCAGACAGTTGAACAATTAAGAGTGGTCTAGCATAGGTTTTATAAGCTCTAATTAGCAAAACAAGGTCTCCAGAAAAAAAGCTTCGCAAAATTAAATGATCCTTCGTTTACTGGCCATTCCAAGTTGGGACAGACTCCCACCCACCCCCAAAAGCTACTCATTTTGAAGTTAGGAAGGGAGGAAAGAAAGAGACAGGCAGGGAGGGAGAGAGAGACAGAGAGGGAAGACTGGAGATAGATAGATAGATAGATAGATAGATAGATAGATAGATAGATAGATAGATAGATAGATATGGATGGATAGATAGATATAAAGGTAGGTAGGTAGATAGATAGATAGATATCATAGATATAGATGATAGAGAGAGAGAGAGGGATGGATGGGTGGATGGATGGATAGACAGAGAATATAGATAGAAAGATAGATGGATGGATGGATGGTAGATAGATAGATAGATAGATAGATAGATATGGATGGATAGATAGATATAGATAGAAAGGTAGGTAGGTAGATAGATAGATATCATAGATATAGATGATAGAGAGAGAGAGGGATGGATGGATGGATGGATGGATAGACAGAGATATAGATAGAAAGATGGATGGATGGATGGTAGATAGATAGATAGATAGATAGATAGATAGATAGATAGATAGATAGATAGACAGATACTGTAGATATAGATTATATATATATATATATATATATATATATATATAGAGAGAGAGAGAGAGAGAGAAGAGAGAGAGAGAGAGAGAGAGAGAGAGAGAGACAGAGAGACAGAGAGACAGAGAGACAGAGACACACACAGAGAGAGAGAGAGAGAGAGAGATGGATGGATGGATGGATGGATGGGTGAATGGGTGGATGGATGGGTGGATAGTCAGATATAGATAGAAAGATAGATAAATGGATGGTTGATAGATAGATAGATTTGATAGATAGATAGATGATAGATGATAGATAGATAGATAGATAGATAGATAGATAGATAGATAGATCAATAGATAGATAGATAGATAGATAGATAGATAGAAGGATGGAAGGATGGAAGGATGGATGATAGATAGATATAGATAGAAAGAAAGAAAGATAGATGGATGGGTGGGTGGGTGGGTGGATGACAGATATTATTATTATTATTATTTATTGAATTTCTATACCGCCCTACTCCCGAAGGACTCAGGGCGGTGCACAGCCATGAAATAAAACACATAGATATACAAAATTTAAAATCGAATAAAATGAATTAAATAAATTTGGCTGAATTAATACCCAATTTAAAATACCCATATTTTAAAATCCATTAAAAATTTAGAATTTACACTTTAGAAGGGAGGAGATTTAGGCGAGGCCAGCTTGATGAAACAAAAGCGTCTTCAACTCGCGGCGGAAGGTGCGCAGATCCGGAATCCTCCGTATCTCTGGGGGGAGCTCATTCCAGATCGTCGGTGCCCCCACAGAGAAGGCTCTCCCCCTAGGGCCGACAGCCGACATTGTTTGGCCGACGGCACCTGGAGGAGCCCTCTCTGTGGGAGCGTACTGGTCGGTGGGAGGCTGTTGATGGTAGTAGGCGGTCCCGTAAGTAACCAGGTCCCAAGCCATGGAGCGCTTTAAAGGTGGTAACCAGAACCTTGAAGCGCACCCGGAAGACCACCGGGAGCCAGTGCAGCTCGCGCAGGAGAGGTGTTACATGGGAGCTCCATGTTGCTCCCATAACCACCCGCGCGGCCGCACTCTGCGCCAGTTGGAGCCTCCGGGTGCACCTCAAGGGGAGCCCCATGTAGAGAGCATTACAATAGTCCAGACGAGAGGTGACGAGGGCATGAGTGACTGTGCGTAACGAGTCCCGATCTAGAAAGGGACGCAACTGGCGAATCAGGCGAACCTGATGAAAAATCCTCCCGGTCACGGCCGTCAAGTGCTCTTCTAAAGACAGCCGTGAGTCCAGGAGGACGCCCAAGTTACGAGCCCTTTCCGTGGGGGCCAATGATTCGCCCCCAATAGATAGATAGATAGATAGATAGATAGATAGATAGATAGATAGATAGATAGATATGGATGGATAGATAGATATAAAGGTAGGTAGGTAGATAGATAGATAGATATCATAGATATAGATGATAGAGAGAGAGAGAGGGATGGATGGGTGGATGGATGGATAGACAGAGATATAGATAGAAAGATAGATGGATGGATGGATGGTAGATAGATAGATAGATAGATAGATAGATAGATAGATATGGATGGATAGATAGATATAGATAGAAAGGTAGGTAGGTAGATAGATAGATATCATAGATATAGATGATAGAGAGAGAGAGGGATGGATGGATGGATGGATGGATAGACAGAGATATAGATAGAAAGATGGATGGATGGATGGATGGTAGATAGATAGATAGATAGATAGATAGATAGATAGATAGACAGATACTGTAGATATAGATTATATATATATATATATATATATATATATATATATATATATAGATAGAGAGAGAGAGAGAGAGAGAGAGAGAGAGAGAGAGAGAGAGAGACAGAGACAGAGACACAGAGACACAGAGACACAGAGAGAGAGAGAGAGAGAGAGGGATGGATGGGTGGATGGATGGATAGACAGAGATATAGATAGAAAGATAGATGGATGGATGGATGGTAGATAGATAGATAGATAGATAGATAGATAGATAGATAGATAGATATGGATGGATAGATAGATATAGATAGAAAGGTAGGTAGGTAGATAGATAGATATCATAGATATAGATGATAGAGAGAGAGAGGGATGGATGGATGGATGGATGGATAGACAGAGATATAGATAGAAAGATGGATGGATGGATGGATGGTAGATAGATAGATAGATAGATAGATAGATAGATAGATAGATAGACAGATACTGTAGATATAGATTATATATATATATATATATTATATATATATATATATATAGAGAGAGAGAGAGAGAGAGAGAGAGAGAAGAGAGAGAGAGAGACAGAGACAGAGACACACAGAGACACAGAGACACAGAGAGAGAGAGAGAGAGAGAGATGGATGGATGGATGGATGGATGGATGGGTGAATGGGTGGATGGATGGGTGGATAGTCAGATATAGATAGAAAGATAGATAAATGGATGGTTGATAGATAGATGGATAGATAGATAGATAGATAGATAGATAGATAGATAGACAGACAGATATAGATGATAGATAGATAGATAGATAGATGATAGATAGATAGATAGATAGATAGATAGATAGATAGATCAATAGATAGATAGATAGATAGATAGATAGATAGATAGATAGATAGATAGAAGGATGGAAGGATGGAAGGATGGAAGGATGGATGATAGATAGATATAGATAGAAAGAAAGAAAGATAGATGGATGGGTGGGTGGGTGGGTGGATGACAGATAGATAGATAGATAGATAGATAGATAGATAGATAGATAGATAAATAGATAGATATGGATAGATAAATATAGATAGAAAGGTAGGTAGGTAGATAGATATCATAGATATAGATGATAGAGAGAGAGAGAGGTGGATGGGTGGATAGTCAGATATAGATAGAAAGATAGATAAATGGATGGATGATAGATAGATGGATAGATAGATAGATAGATAGATAGATAGATAGATAGACAGACAGATATAGATGATAGATAGATAGATAGATAGATAGATAGATAGATAGATAGATAGATAGATGATAGATAGATAGATAGATAGATAGAAGGATGGAAGGATGGATGATAGATAGATATAGATAGAAAGAAAGAAAGATAGATGGGTGGGTGGGTGGGTGGATGACAGATAGATAGATAGATAGTTAGATAGATGAGAGAGAGATGATAGATAGATAGATAGATAGATGATAGATAGATAGATATAGAAAGAAAGAGAAAGAAAGAAAGAAAGAAAGAAAGAAAAGATGGATGGATGGATGGATGATAGATAGATAGATAGATAGATAGATAGATAGATAGATAGATAGATAGATAGATACACAGAGAGATAGAGATGTTAGATGGATAAACAGAAAGAGAGATGATAATAGACAGGTATGTAGGTCACTAATCAGCCATTGACCCTCCATTTCCCCCATGCCCTGAAATCTGGCATTCTCACTGTGGGTCTGTTTTTTGCTTTTCCGCAGGCTGCATCCATGCATTCTGATTGTTTCATCAAAAAGGAACAAGAAGCGTGTTTAGAAAACATCCAGAAACTGACCAGCAGTACGACCTTCAATGAATCATCCCCAGGTATGTGCTGGAACTCACCACAAATCAGTAAAATCAGTAAAATTCCTACCAGATCTCAAAATCAGTAAGGAAGATACTCTGAGGAGACCACAGATGACCCCGAAATTTCTCTTGTTAAGTGAGATATTTGTTTAGTGACTTTTGCCCCATTTTATGACCTTTCGTGCCACAGTTGTTAAGTGAATCACTGCAGTTGTTAAGTTAGCCACCTGGTTATTAAGTAAATCTGGCTTCTCTGTTGACTTTGTTATAATGGGGAACACTTGAACTTGGAACATTGCAATCGTCGTAAGTATGAACCAGTTGCCAGGCGTCCGAATTTTGATCATGTGACCATGGGGATGTTGCAACGGTCGTAAGTGTGAAAACGGTCATAAGTCACTTTGTCTCAGTGCCATGTAACTGCAAATGGTCACTAACTAACAATGCTAATACACTGAAGTTAACAATTCTTTATAAGGTAGTCCTAGACTTATGACCACAATTAAGGCCAGAATTTCCCTTTCTAAGCATGATGGCTGTTAAGACGGGTTGAGCTGGATTGTTAAGCAAAACAGAATAACAGAGTTGGAAGGGACTTTGGAGATCATCTAGTCCAACCCCCTGCAATTGTTAAGTGAATCACATGGAATCCAGTTTATCAAGAGAAATTTTCGGCCCAATTGTGGTCATAAGTTGAGGACCACCTGTATATAAAATTAGCACAAATTGCATTTCCTTCTGGCACTGATGACGTTGCCTGATTGCATCATAAAATATCTCCAAGAAAACAACCAAGGTCAAAAAGCACCAAGGACCCCACAGCCCTCCTCATCCTCCTCCCAATTCCCATTCCCTCCTAGCATTGATGATGTTACCTAGTGGGTTCATGAAACATCTGCAGGAAAGCTACCAAGCTCAGAGAGCACCAAGGACCCCATAGTTCTCCTCCTCCTCCTCCGCGTCTTCCTCCTCCTCCTCCAACTTCTCCTCTTCTTTCTCTTCCTCTTGTTTTTCCCCCTCCTCTCCTTCTCCTCTTCCTCCTCCTTTTCCTCCTCCTCCTCCTTTTCTTTTCCTCTTCCTTTTCCTCCTCCTCCTCTACCATCTCCTCCTCTTCTTCTTCTCCATCTCCTCCTCTTCTTCCTCTTCTTCCTCTTCCTCCTCTCCTCCTCTTTCTCTTCCTCTTGTTTCTCCTCCTCCTCTCCTTCTCCTCTTCCTCCTTTTCCTCCTCCTCCTTTTCTTCCTCCTCCTCCTCTTCTTTTCCTCTTCCTTTTCCTCCTCCTTCACCACCACCTCTTCTTCCTCCTCCTCTTCTTCTTTTCCTCTTCCTCTTCCTCCTCTTCCTCCATCTGCTCCTCCCTCTTGTTCCTCCTTCTCCTCTCCTCCTCCTCTTCCTCCTCCTCCTCTTCTTTTCCTCTTCCTCTTTGTCTTCCTCCTCCTCCACCACCACCTCCTCTTCTCCTCCTCCTCTCCTCCTCCTCCTTTCTTTTCCTCTTCCTCTTCCTCCTCTTCCTCCATCTGCTCCTCCTCCTCTTGTTCCTCCTTCTCCTCTTCCTCCTCCTCTTCCTCCTCCTCCTCTTCTTTTCCTCTTCCACTTCCTCTTCCTCTTCGTCTTCCTCCTCCTCCTCCTCCTCCACCACCACCACCACCTCCTCTTTTCCTCCTCCTCTTCCTCCTCCTCTTCTTCTTTTCCTCTTTCTCTTCCTCCTCTTCCTCCATCTGCTCCTCCTCCTCTTGTTCCTTCTTCTCCTCTTCCTCCTCCTCTTCCTCCTTCTCCTCCTCTTCTTTTCCTCTTCCTCTTCTTCTTCCTCTTCCTCCTCCTCCTCTTCCACCATCACCACCTCCTCTTCTCCTCCTCCTCTTCCTCCTCCTCCTCCCTGCAAACCCTGCCCCCCTTCCCTTCTACGACTGATGAGGTTCCCTAGTTGGGTCATGAAACGTCTGTAGGGAAACCACCAAGCTCCGAGACCACCCAGGACCACCCAGTCCAGCCCTTCTGTCGAAATAAGATCTCGCCGTTGGGTCTGGCAAACCCTCGATGAAGCATTGAAACAGCGTGCCAAATGCCCGTCCCCTCCTGAGCCAAGGCACAGCTGTCTTAGACCCTCTCGCCACCGAGCAGGCAGCGTTTTCCAAAACGCACATCTGTGAAATTATCTCTCCTCCCCGTCTTGGCAAAAACTACTCCTAATTTCCACACACGAACACAGCCTGCAGAATGGTCCTGGTGGTTTTGCTCATTCGCTTCCATGTTCAAATGGCTGCAAGACTCATTTGGCTCAATTGGCATCGGGAGAATTCCCCCTCGTAGTGTTTTTTTGCTCATCGTCAACATTTGTTTTCTGGAAAGAAAAAGGGGATTTGGGGAAAGAAGCAGAAAAAAATGTCCTTTGGGAGTTGTGGGTCGAGAGGGATATTTTCTCTCATGCCCCCTTGGTGTCAGGATTGGGGAAACGTAGAAGGATTTCTTTTCCCTCTTTAAAATAAAAATCACTTTATTTCATGCAACCAACAAGTGAAGCCTCCTGAAAATTGCTGGCAAATAGAAGAGGAGAGCTAAGGAAGCAGGAAGAGGGTGAGATAGGGACACACTCCGTGTATTGGAACTGTTGTGTAAAAATGTAAGCTGTAAGGTTAACTGGTTGTATCATTCTTCTGCCTGGCCCTAGCTGTATTTTTGGTGATTAGGACAAGATGGGACAATCCCTCTTCCTCTGTTATCTCTTTTCCTTTCCTTTCCTTTCCTTTCCTTTCCTTTCCTATCCTTTCCTTTCCTTTCCCTTCCCTTCCTTTTCCTTCCCTTCCTTTCTTATTTTTTCCTTTTCTTCCCTTCCTCTTTCTCTTCCCTTCCTTTCTTATTTTTTCCTTTCCTTTCCTTTCCTTCCCTTCCTCTTTCCCTTCCTATTTTTCCTTTCCTTTCCTTTCCTTTCCTTTCCTTTCCTTTCCTTTCCTTTCCTCTCTTTCCTTTCCTTTCCTTTCCTTTCCTTTCCTTTCCTTTCCTTTCCTCTCCTCCCCTCCCCTCCCCATCCCTTCCCTTCCTCTTTCATTTCCTTCCCTTCCTCTCTCCTTTCCTTCCCTTCCCTTCCCTTCCCTTCCCTTCCTCTTTCTCTTCTCTTCCCTTCCTTTCTTATTTTTTCCTTTCCTTTCCTTCCCTTCCTCTTTCCCTTCCTATTTTCCCTTCCCTTCCCTTCCCTTCCCTTCCCTTCCTCTTTCCTTCCCTTCCCTTCCCTTCCCTTTCCTTTCCTCCCCTCCCCTTCCTCCTTTCCTTTCCTTCCCTCCTTACTTCCTTTCCCCTCCCCTCCCTCTTTCCCCTAACCCTTCCTCCCTTCCTCTTTCCCCTCCCTCATTCCCCCTCCCCCTCTCTCTCCCTCCCTTTCCCCTTCCCTTTTCTTCCTCCTTCTCCTTCTCCTCCCCTCTCCTCCCTTCCCTCCTTTCCTTATCCCTTCTTTCCTTTCTCTTCTCTCTCTCCCTTCCCCTCCCTTCCCCCTTCCCCTTCCTCTCTCCCCTCCCTCTTTCCCCTACTCCTTCCTTTCTTCCTTGTCAACCATCCCTGCTCAACCATCTTCTCAACCTTAAAAGTTCTTAAATAGAATTTTGCCATCTTTTCCAAACAAGGGGGAAAAGTGCTCTAAAACAACCACGTAAAAATGTTTGGGGACTCCTGAATTCAGACAGCACAACCTCCAGCACATAATATGCTGGACATCCCTAGTAGTTGAAGAAGAGCAGGTTATTTACAGATTCGACAATACCAACTGACAGTAAAGTAGAATAGCTGAAAAGAGACTGGGAAAAAATTGTGAAATATCAGGATTTAACCACCGAAATTGAGAGATTAGGGAATAAACCGGCAAATTGTTTCCCCATAGTTATTAAAGTGTTGGAAGCTTAAATAGAATTGTCAAAACAGCTGAAAAAAATATAGAATTATTCAGTCTTATAGCATTGTTTGTAGCAAAAAACAACAACAATAGAAACCCAGCTTTGCTCAGCAAACTCAGTATATATTTCAGTGATATCTGGACAATTCTTAGAATTTGAATTAATTCCAAAACACCAGTATTTGCTAAGTATTCTTCAGAAGTGAATACCTAATAATAAACATGCTTAAATATTCAGAAAAACACACAAACACAAAAATGGAATTTCCACATTTTCCTTAGAAAAGTGTGCAACCGTATCTGGTAGACTAGTTAAGAGACACGACCAGGTAAATTAATTCTACTTCACAGATTGTCTTTGAATTATGACCACAATGGAGCCCAAGTGTTATGCTACTAAGTGAGACATTTGTTAAGTGAGTTTTGCCCCATTTTACGCCGTTTTGTGACACTGTTTTGTGACCTTCTGACAAGCAAAGTCAATGGGGAAGCTAGATTCCCTTAACAAGCATGTCATTCATTTAATCCCTGCAGTGATTCACTTAACAACAGTGGCAAGGAAGGTCATAAAATGGGGCAAAACTCACCTAACAAATGTCTCACTTAGCAACAGAAATGTTGGGCTCAATTGTGGTCGTAAGTCAAGAAGCACCTGTATTCATTCATCCATTCATTCAATTTCTATGACTCCATAAGACTTACTATTCCAAAACTTGTATTACAATTAAAAATACTAAAAAACATTTTAAAACAATAGAAATTCCACTAAAAACACCCAGATTAAATATTCATAGGAGCAAGACAACCAGAAAATGAAAGAAAGAAGTGCTTTTATCTAAATTGCAGGGACTCCTTGACTTATGACCAGTCATTTAATGATTGTTCGAAGTATTGACAGATCTATAGTAGTGGCCAAAAATTGTGGAAACCTTTTGGGAAAAGTGTATTTTTGAGGTTTGATGGCTAATAACACCACTTTTTTGGGGGGAGTTTCAAGATAATCCTAATCCACTGCTGGAATGGCCTGGGAATAACCCAGACCTTCACCCAATGGAAAATCTATGGAGCTGACTAAAGAAACTTGTTAGTCAGAAGTGACCCAGCAATAAAACCCAGTTAATAGAAGCCATCATTCAATCTTAGTTTCCCATGAGAACAGCTGCAGAACTAAAAGACTTGGTTCACTCCATGGGAAGACGTTGTAAGGCCATAATTCATGCTAAAGGTTACCCAACTAAGTATTAACTGACATGGTGGTCATTTTTGTATATCTTGCTTTTTCACTTTTCTTCTTTATACTGCAACTGCTATTCTAATAGCAAATCCTTCATAAAAGTTATTGCATTACATTCTTGATTAAATTATCTTTCCATTGATATATAATTTTATGGTACTACTCAGGGGTGAAATCGCCCAATCCAGTAGCAATGGCAATGGATGGTTCGGAGAACCGGTAGCAAAAATCCCTGCCCCCCACCCCCACCCCCATGCCCAACTGAGCTGCGCGATCATTAGAGACTGTTTTCTTAAACTTTTAAAAGCATTTTTTCTACAACCTCTTCGGCCGAAAAAATGCTTTTAAAAGTTAAAAAAACAGCCTCTGATGATCGCGCGGCTCAGCTGGGATCGTCAGAGGCTTTTAAAAGCATTTTTTCTACAACCTCTGACATGACTGCACTTCACTGCTCCATTATGGACATAACTCGAGGACTACCTATACAGACGGTCACAATTGAGCCCAAAATTTCTGTTGTTAAGCGAGACACTTGTTAAGTGAATTTTGCCACATTTTACGGCCTTTCTTGCCTCAGTTGTTAAGTGAATCACTGCTGTTGATTAGTCAGTCACCCGGTTGTTAAGTGAATCTGGTTTTCCCGTTGACTTTGCTGGTTGGAAGATCACAAAAGAGGATTGCGTGACCTTGGGAGACACAGCCCCGGTCATAAATATGAGCCTGTTGCCAAGCATCTGAATTTTGATCACATGATCAAATGGTGACTCTGGAAAGGTCGTAACTGCGAAAAATGAGCCTAGCTCACCTTTTTCAGTGCGGTGGTAACTTTGAACGGTCACTAAACAAACTGTTGTAAGCCAAGGAGTTCCCGTATTCATCTCCAGGCATAGCTTCTTCTAACAACTTCGCTTAAGATGAAAAATTGTTCAGCTCCAGGCGGGCTGTTCACCCATAATTGGAGAAGAAAAAGAAACAAAAGAGTTTCGGACAAGGAGGGACACAGACGAGTTTTACTCTTTGAAGCTTTCAGTGCAAATTTCCTACCCCCAAGGGTTGATTTACCCGTCATCTTGAAATTAAGGACATATTATTAACGCCGAAAGTTGGTTTAGCACAATGATTCCTTCTATAGGGAGCCCGTTATTTTCTAGAGATAAAGATGGAATTTGGAGCCAGTTTAGTGCAGTGGTTAAGGCATCAGGCTAGAAACCTGGTGAAGGGAGTTCTAGTCCTGCCTTAGGCATAAAAGCCGGTTGGGTGACTTTGAGCCAATCACCAGGAGAGGGTGAGTTCTATTCCCACCTTTGCATGAAAGCCATCTGGATGACTTTGGGCAAATTATTAAGTGGTGGTGAGTTCTAATCCCACCTTAGGCATGAAACCTGGCTGGGTGATTTTGGGATAAACACCAGGAGATGGTGAGTTGTAGTCCAGACTCAGGCATGAAAGCTGACTGGGTAACTTTGGGTCAATCACCAGGAGACAATAAATTCTAGTTCCACCTTAGACATAAAAGTCGGCTGGGTGACTTTGAGCCAATCACCAGAAGACGGTGAGTTCTAGTCCCGCCTTAGGGATGAAAGACAGGTGGGTTAGCCCAATCCACCTCACAGGGTTGTTGTAGTAGGGAAAATAGGAGGAGGAAGCAGTATTGTGTACATTGCATTACTTATAATAAAAGGTGGATAGAAATCTAATCACGCAATCAATAAACATACATGTAATGGCATGGAATGGAAAGGCAGCACTATAAGCCCTCCATCAAAGACGGAACAAGAGAGCTGATTTCTCATTTTAAAACTCTCCGTTGGAGAAAATAGGCTCCTTAGACAATGTGATGTTCTCCATTCATACATTTTATGATTGCTGCAATGCAGGAGTGCAGGGATTACATAATCCTGTTTTGGCCATCAAAACATCTCCTAAAGTTGCTATGGAAATTATAAATTTTGGATGGGGCAGAAAAGGGATGTGGTTAAATCCACGGGGAAAACGTCACCCAAATTTCATTTTATTAATTTCAATTAAAACCATCTTGCTTTTTTTTTTTTTCCTCCTGTCCTTGTTCAAATTTTTAGAGAGTGCAACTTGGGTTCCCGTAAACCATTGTGTGCCTTTGTGCTGTTCAAATGCATTATTCTAAGGGGTGTCTCTAAAAAAATTATTTATTCTTAATAGTATGAGAGTTAGTGTTTGATTTTTGTCCGACTTCCTAGTGTGGCAGTCTGAATAGGAGCGTGAGCCAGCAGCAAAACTGGAACACGATCAACTTAACATGCGACACAGTGCATTCTTCCAAAAATAAATGTGGATCAATCTTTTAAAAACAGGCAGAAAATTCCAGAATGTAAATTAATAAAAAAAAAAATACATCCCAGAAAAACCACAACAGACAAACCATATGTGTACAATTGCCAAGTTCTTCATGAAGTTCTCAAATGTCCTTAAGCTTTGTGTAATCCCTTCCTTCTTTCTGTTACAGGAGGTCCTTGAGTTATGACCATAGTAGAGGTAGTCCTCGATTTATGACCCCAACTGAGCCCAAAATTTCAGTTGCAAAATGAGATAGTTGTTAAGTGAATCTTGCCCCATCTTACAACCTTTCTTGCCACATTTGTTCAGTGAATCAATGCAGTTCTTAAGTTAGTAACACGGTTGTTAAGTGAATCTGGCTTCCTCATTGAGTTTCTTGTCAGAAGGTCGCAGAAGGGGATCATGTGACATACACACATCCCGGGACACTGCAACTGTTGTAAATATGAGTCAGTTGCCAAGCGTCTGAATTTTGATCATGTGACTCTATGAGGTTCAGGTATCCTCAACTTATGACCACAACTGAGCCCAAAATTTCTGTTGTTAAGTGAGACATTTTTAAACTGAGTTTTTTCCCCATTTTACGACCTTCCTTGCCACAGTTGTTAAGCGAATCACTGCAGTTATTAAGTTAGTAACACAGTTGTTAAGTGAATCTGGTTCTCCCATTGACTTTGCTGTCAGAAGGTCACAAAAGGGGATCACATGACCCCCGGGAAACTGCCACCGTCATAAGTATGAGTCAGTGGCCAAGCATCTGAATTTTGATCACGTGACCATGGGGAGGCTGCAACGGTCGTAAGTGTGAGAAATGGTCATAAGTCACTTTTTTCTGTCATTGGAACTTCGAAGGGTCACTAAATGAGCTGTTGTAAGTCGAGGACTCCCCATAAAAAACCAAACAAAACACCATGAAACAAAAACAAATAAATAAAGAATGGAACACAAAATTTTATTTATTTATTTATTTATTTCAAATTTATATACCGCACCTCCTCCCGAGGGACTCAGGGCGGTGTATAGCCAGATAAAAAACATACAATACAAACATTAAAAACAATTAAAAAGATGTATATTAATTTGGCCCCAATTTAAAATAACAAGCCAATTAAAAATATTTTTAAAATATATTAATATATATTATATATTAAAAATATATAATATTAAATATTTTAATATTAAAAATCAATTCAAATAAAAAATGAATAAAATAAAAAATAACGAAACAAATAAATGAAAAACAATGAGTTAATAAATAAGTAATAAAATACTTATTTTAAGGAGCTTAAATACTATTAGTATTTAGTATTAATAAGCTTAATACTTATATTAAGGAGCCTTGGTAGTACAGTGGTTAATGCACCCTGTTATTAACACAGCTGCCTGCAATTTCTGCAGGTTCGAATCTTACCAGGCTCAAGGTTGACTCCGCCTTCCATCCTTTCTAAGGTAGGTTAAATGAGGACCCAATTTGTGGGGGCAATAAGCTGACTTTGTATAAATATACAAAAAGTATGAAGGCTATTGCTTAACGCATTGTAAGCCGCCCTGAGTCTCCGGAGAAGGGCGGCATATAAATCAAATTTTAAAAAAAAAATAGAATAGCAAATAAATAAAGAATGAATAAAACTATAATAATATAGAAAATAAAAAAAAATAGCAATTACAAAATAATAAAGGCATGAATAAATTAAATTTAAATTAAAAAGAAAACACAAAAGAAAGTCCTCGAAAACTGTTTCTCTTGTTTTCTGCATTATTTTTAAATTGTTTCTTTATTTTCTATAGGTTGCGCCGGGATGTGGGATAACATCACTTGCTGGAAACCAGCTTTGGTGGGTGAAGTCGTGTATGTCAAATGCCCAGCTCTCTTCACCGTGGTGAACGTAGATTATGGTAAGTTGTTTGAACCCCGGACTCCGTTTATTCTGCACTGCAGAAGAAAATTTGGAATTACAGCAGGCCAAGGCACGTAGTAGGAGGAGGAAGAGGTTGTCTCAAGTAATTTATAATGCAAACCTCTTGACTCCGATTGGCCTTGCAGAAGGAATGCAAATTCAGAGCTGCTCAGTACTGGTAGTCCTTGAGTTACAACAGTTCATTTAGTGACCATTCAATGTTATAATGGCACTGAAAAAGGTGACTTATGACCTGTTTTTTACAACCGCTGCAGCTTCCCCACGATCACTGATTCGGAGAGTTGGGAACTGGTTCTTATTTATGACCGTTGCAAACTGTCACGTGATCTCATTTTGCAGCCTTCTGACGAAGCCGGATTCACTTAATAACTAACTGTGACTAACTGAACAACTGCACTTAACAACAGCGGCAAGAAAGGTTGCAAAATGGGACAAAATGACTGCTTCGCTTAGCAACAAAATAATTTGGGCTCAGTTGTGCTCCTACGTCAAGGAACTACTTGCATTTGGATGGGAGACCACCAAGAGATTCCTTCTGTACGCCAGAAGAAAACCATAAATCACCCCAGAACCTTACAATCATGGTAAATCCATGTTGGTTGCCAAGTACCCAAATTTTAACTACATAACTCTAGGGATGCTGTGATTGCTCTCAGTGTGAGAACCAGTCATAAGTCATGATTTTTGTAAAATTGAGGTTGTAAATTGAGGACTACCTGTATATTGCAGAGAGGGAAAAGACATAAAAAAGAAGATGGAGATGGAGATGCATCAGGACTATTAAAACTTTAAACGGTCACTAAGTGAATGGTTATAAGTCGAGGACTACCTATGCTTTCAACCATTCCAATGCTGAAATGCAAACTTTCTGGAGTGCTGCAGGGCTGAGAACTCTTTTGCAATGTCAAGCAAGGAGAAACATCTTTTGCAGGAACTTTGCAAAACTTTTCAAGATTTAATAGGTCTCCTTTCCAAGAATGGATCTGTTGGTGAGTTTATTTATAAGCTTCCAGAGTATTGCCTCTCCAAAAGGCTTGGCTGTAAAAATTAACCAGGGATTGGAGAAGAAGCTGAATTTCAATCTGAGTGCACCTCCGAGAAGAAATAGTGGAACTGGGGAATCTGAGTATTTTGGGGGACTGTACAAATTCAAATAAATCTGAGTTATATTTGGGTAAATTTGTTCTGCAGATGGTCAACATTTGGGAAGAATCTAGATGGCCATCTAGTGGCAAAATGAAGCACTACAAGCCATTTATTGCTGTTCCATAACTGCTAAACAGTTTCCATAAATTCATTTATGTTGCCCTTCAGTTTAGCTTAAAGAGATAAAATATCTTCTTCTTGGTTTCCTATTTAATGGACCTCTCTGAAATTAGCATAAGCCATATGTGAAAATGGGTTAGAGGAGAAGATCCCTTCCAACCCTATTTTGCTCTGTTCTGTTTTATTCTATTTTTCTTATTCTATTCTACTTTGTTCTCTACTATTCTTATTTCTATATTCTGTTCTGTTCTATTCTATTCTATTCTATTCACATCTCTTTTTTTAATGTTACTCAGTTACTCCAATGTGAGTTTCATCAGTATTAAGTTAAACATTTTTTGTTCTGGTTTCTAATTAAGTTTAGAATTAAAAAGGGCAATTCAAAAACAAAAAAGCAATAAAACATCGGGTTCAGATGGAATTCCAGCGGAATTTTACAAAGAATTACAAAAACCGCTAGAGAACTTACTATTACAAATATATAACGAAGTACTAGAGCAAGCAATGGTACCAGAATCTTGGATGGAAGCACTGATAACCTTAATTCCCAAAGATAATGTGGAAAGGGAAAAAAATCCAAAATTATAGGCCAATCTCGCTGCTGAATGCAGACTATATTTATGACGATAATGGCAGAAAGGATGAAACACATATTAAATGAAATCATACAACCAGATCTGAATGGATTTTTACCCACCAGACACATAAAAAATAATATAAGAACGATAATGAATACATTAGAATATTACGAAACACATCCAGAGAAACAAGCAGCTTTGATATTCCTCGACGCACAAAAAGCATTATTCTATTCTATTTCTATTCTGTTCTATTCATTTCTGTTTCTGTTTCTACTCTATTCTATTCTTATTTCTATATTCCATTCCACTCCACTCCACTCCACCCCATCCCATATTCTGTACAAACAACCCACAATTCATGGCTTGCGTTATTTCTGGAATCAGGGCAAACAGGCTTTTGTGCCTGTATTATCCTTTTCACTATATAAAAAGAGCTTGATAATCCTCTTCCAATTCCTTCCTTCAAGGCTGAATAGGCGCAGCTCCTTCAATTTCTTTTTTAGAGGTTTTAAATTCTAGCCTCTCCATTGTCCTCATTCTGATTCTCTGGATCTGTTTTAATACTTGTGAATAAGATCAAATAAGGGGTGATGTGAAGTTGCCGAGAAAGCAATTTCTGTAGGAGGCAAGCATAGCCAATCAACATGGCAAGAAGTCCTTGACTTATTTAGTTCATTTAGTGACCTTTCAAACAGTGGTGAAATGTAAAATTTGTTACGACCGGTTTTATCGGCGTGGCTTGGTGGTGGGGGGGGTAATATGACTGAGTGGGCATGGCCAACTTTTTTTTTTACTTTTAAAACCATTTTTTCTACAACCTCTTCGGCTGAAGAGTTTGTAAAAAAATGCTTTTAAAGCCTCTGACGATCCCAGCTGACTTGCCTGATCGGCAGAGGCTTTTTTTCCCCTTTATAAACATTTTTTTTATAACCTCTTCGGCCGAAGAGGTTGTAGAAAAAATGCTTTTAAAAGCCTCTGATGATCCCAGCTGAGCCGCGCAATCATCAGAGGCTTCTTTTTTTTTACTTTTAAAAGCATTTTTTTCGGCCAAAGAGATTGTAGAAAAAATGCTTTTAAAAATAAAAAAAGCCTCTGATGATCGTGCGGCTCAGCTGGGCAATGGGGAGGCAGGGATTTTTGCTACCAGTTCTCCGAACCACCCGCCTCCATCGCTACCGGATCGGGCGATCCGGTCCAAACCAGGTGCATTTCACCCCTGCTTTCAAAGTTACAATGTCACTGAAAAAAAGCGACTTATGACCATTTTTCACATGACTTTTGAAGCCTCCCCATGGCCATGTGATCAGAATTAAGACACATAGTAACTGACTCATATTTATGACGGTCGCAGTGTCCTGGGGGGGGAGTGTCACGCGATCCACTTTTGTGACCTTCTGACAAGCTAAGTCAACGGGGAAGCCAGATTTGGTTAAACAACCGTGTTTCTAACTTTTACAACTGCAGTGATTCACTTAACAATTATAAGCAAGGAAGGTTGTAAAACCGGGGGCAAAATTCACTTAACAACTGTCTCGTTTAGCAACAGATATTTGGGGCTCAATTGTAGTCGTAAGTCGAGGACTCAATTGTAGTTGTAAGTCGAGGACTACTTGCAAATAGATGTCTGGCTGTTTCATAGAACAGAAGTGGAATTTAGACCATGAATAAACCTGATATAGGGATGCGGTGGCTCAGTGGCTAGGACACTGAGCTTGTCGATAGAAAGGTCGCCAGTTCAGCGGTTCGAATCCCTAGTGCCGCGTAATGGGGTGAGCTCCCTACTCGTCCCAGCTTCTGCCAACCTAGCAGTTCGAAAGCACGTAAACAATGCAAGTAGAAAAATGGGGATCCCCTTTGATGGGAAGGTAACAGCATTCCGTGCGCCTTTGGCATTGAGTCATGCCGGCCACATGATCACGGAGACGTCTTCAGACAGCGCTGGCTCTTTCGGCTTTGAAATGAAGATGAGCACCGCCCCCTAGAGTCGGGAACAACTACCACGCATGTGTGAGGGGAACCTTTACCTTTACCTTTAAACCTGATATGGGCCGAAAATGGGATGAAAAGGAAAGAACAGCCAGTGCTGCAGGTGACCAAATGAGCTGAGATCCAGGTAGTCCTTGACATACGACTATTCATTCAGTGACCGTTGTAAGTTACAACAGCATTGAACAAATGATGGTTATAACCAGCCCTCAATGTGTTTGAGGTGCTTTTTTTTTTTCTGAGTGGGTTTTCCTTATTTATTTATTTATTTTTCCAGAAAAAAATGGTAGTCCTCTACTTATGACCACAATTGATACCAAAACCTCCATGGCTAAGTGAGGCAGTGGTTAAGTGATTCGTGCCTGGTTTTACAACCTTTTTTGCCCAAGTACTAAGTGAATCACCATGATTGTTAGGTGAATCATATAGTCGTTAAGCGAATCCAGCTTCCCCCATTGGCTTTGCTTGCGGGAAGCCAGCTGGGAAAGTTGCAAATGGCGATCGCGTAACTCTGGGTGCTACGACTGTCATAAATGCTTTCCCAAGTGCCAAGCATCCCAATGTTGATCTTGTGACGGCAAGGAAGCTAAGATGGTCATAAGTATGAGGAATCACTATTTTTAGTGCTGTTATAATTTCAGATGTTTGCTAAATGAATGGTTCTAAGTCAAGGATTATTTGTATTACATTTATAAAAGACAGAAGCCCATCAAGGTCCCTTCCAGCTTCATTCTGATTAATTAAATTAATTAAACTTCCAGGACTGGAAGATTTTAAGAAGATATTGGACAAAAATTTATCTGAAATGGGATAGGATTTCCTGTCTCAGCAGGGGGTTGGACTAGAAGACCTCCAAGGTCCCTTCCAGTTCTATTGTTCTGTTCTGTACTGTTCTGTTCTGTTCCAAATGCATGTACCTCTGCTTGTACGCAACTAAGATCCTGAATACTGTAGAAAGGGGGAATTTAGGAAGATATACCGTAATAAGTACAAAAATTTCATACAAGGGAGGAAAATGAAAAGTGGTAATGTAATAATGAAATAATATATATTTTTGTTGTAAGAGTTAACTATCTTCTTTAACTTCTTTTTCTTTTTTTGTGTCGACCAGGCTGGGATCTGAACACCATGGCGTATGCGCAACCAGGTAAGGCTTATATCTATTCTCCACTTAGATAGGTCGAGAACGGGACATACAGGTAGTTCTCAACTTACGACCACAACTGAGCCCAAAATTTCCGTTGCTAAGCAAGCCATTTGTTAAGTGAATTTTTCCCCATTTTACCTTTCTAACCACAGTTGTTAAGTGACTCTTTTGTTGTTCAGTGAAGTGAATCTGGCTTCCCCATTGAATTTGATGGTCGTAAAAAGGGATCACATGATCCCGGGACACTGCAACCGTCATAAATGTGACTCAGTTGCCAAGCGTCTGAATTTTGATCACATGGTTATGCTGCAATGATTGTTAAGTGCGAAAAATGGTCATAAGTCACTTTTTTTCAGTGTAACTTTGAATGGTCGCTGAATGAACTGTTGTAAGTCGAGGACTACCTGTTTCAGTTCTAAAGTAGATTTCAACTTCTTTTCTTTTTTTTGTAGGAGAGCTTGAAATGTTTGACAATCCAGAGCAACTTCTAGGTAAGAAATGGAGGTGATTTATTTCATCCTGGCACCTCTAAGATTTAGCGGAGGTGAAAACCTCAACTTACGACCAAAATTGAGAGGAGAGCTTCCACTGCTAAGCGACGTGGTTGTTAAGTGAGCCATGCCCAATGTTATATACTGAATTTCATTTTATTAGATTCTTTAATCCCATCTGTATTACTTCGTAAGTCGCTCAATGCCTAATATGTCTTCCTCCCCCTATTTTCTCTGCAACAACAACCCTGTGAGGTGCGTTGGGCTGAGAGTTAAGGTTTGGCGCAAAGTGACCATTTGAGAAGTAGACCCTCAGTATTAGAAATGATCAGGAAAGCAATATCTAAAATTTAGATAAAAATTCTTCATGCCCGAGGCAGGACTAGAACTCACCGTCTCCTGGTGAATAGCCCAAAGTCATCTAGTTGGGTTTCATGCCTAAGGTGGGACTAGAACTCACCATCTCCTGGTTTCTAGCCTAGTGTTTTAACTGTGAGGCCAAACTAGACCAATAATTTGCTTCTCAAATTATTACTTGGCATGTTTTGCATAGTCCTTGACATATGACTACAATTCAGACTAGAACAGTGATGGCTAACCTTTTTGCCCTTGCGTGCCAAAAGCGGGGGAAGCTCAGGGGTCAGGGGTCATGCGTGCGTGTGTCCATACCCTAATTCAATGCCCCCCCGGCGTTCTGCCCCCCCCATGCATGTGCGCGCAACCACTCTGCGCTCCCCTGCACATGCGCACATGACCCCCCGCACCCCATTTTGGAGGGGGCCCCCCCGCGCCTCATTTTGGGCAGGAAATGGCCCATTTTCAGACTTCCAGTTATCCCGTTTTTCGTCCTCCCAAGAGGCTTTCTTGGAGCCTGGGGAGGGTGAAAACAGCCTTCTCTGCCCCCCCTAGAATCCCTCCGGAGGCCGGAAATGGCCCGTTTCCTGACTTCTGGTGGGCCCGGAAGGCCTGTTTTTCACCCTCCCCAGGCTCCAGAATCTTTCCTGGAGCCTGGGGAGGGTGAAAACTGCCTTCCCCATCCCACAGAGGCCCTCTGGAGGCCGAAAATGCCTTCCCAGAGCCTCTGCGCGAGCCCTGTCACCTGGTATCCAAAACAGGCCGTGTGGAGACTCTTAGGAGGGGAGGAGTGGGCGGGGCGGGGCCAGCTGAAAATCAGGGAGCTGAGCTAGGGCAACGGCTCGCATGCCCGCAGATATGGCTACACGTGCCACCTGTGGCACGCGTGCCATAGGTTCACCATCACGGGACTAGAACATCCTTTGCTAAGTGATGTTAAGTGAGTCACGTCCACTTTTATGACCTTTTAACAGTGGTTTCTAAGCGAATCCTGTTTCACTTACTGAATTCGCTTGTCCAAAGTCCACTGGGAAGTGATAATAGCAATCACATGACCCAGGATGTTGCAACTGTCGAAAATACCATCCTGTTGCCAATCCTCCAAATTTTGATCACGTGACCTGCAATTCTGAGTTCTTTGAATCAACATTTTCCCCCCTCAAGCACTTCCTGCATTGACCAAGTGATCCCACTGAACTTGAATCCATCTAGGGATGGATTTGCAAACAACCTTGCAGTGTAGGCCACCAGAGCCAAGCCAAGCCAAGCCAAGCCAAGCCAAGCCAAAAAAAAAAGCCATTTTTTTTTCTTGAAATTGTTTTCTCTCTTTCTTTAAAACAAGGGTCTCCAAGCTTGTCTGGCTGGGAATTCTGGGAGTGGGAGACCACCAGTATTAAAGTCACCAAGCATGGACATCTCTGCTCTAAAAAGTTCCATGTCTAATTTACTAATTTTTCTAAAAATGTTCTATTTCATTTTTTTCCCCCAACCAGCAGATGGATCCATGGATTTTAAATTGGTCAGCAGGAACTGCACCCAGGAAGGCTGGTCTGAACCATTCCCACATTATTACGATGCCTGCGGATTTGATGACAATGACACATGGAATGGCCAGGTAAGCTGATATGAAATGATTGCCACCCATAAATCTTAACAAATCGAGCTGGAAAGCTAGATTAATATCTATTTATGCCTAAGTGCACGTAGTCCTTGATTTATGATCACAATTGAGCCCCAAAGTTCTTTTGTTAAGCGAGACGGTTGTGAGTTTTACCCCATTTTACAACCTTTCTTGCTATAGTTGTTATGTGAATCACCGCAGCTGTTAAATTAAACAATTGTTAAGTGAATCTGGCTTTCGGCTGGTTAGAAGGTCACAAAAGGTGATCATATAACCCCAGGATACAGCAATCGTCATAAATATGTTCAGAACAAATACCAAACTAGAAAGTATCAAATAGCTTTTATTTGAAAATAATGTATTAGAAATATTTTAATGTAAAGAGACAAAGAGGAAAAATTATACAGGGGGAGGGATGGGTTCAAGCTTATATATCAGTGTTATTAGTTATGAGTACATAATAGGGAAGTCTGGGGGGGGAGGGTTAGGGAGGGTTAGGGAGGATGGGAAGTTTGGGGAGGGGGGGTGAAAAAAGGGGTGAAAATGTAATTGTAAAACTTTTGCAATAAAAAAAATAAATAAATATGGGTCGGTTGTCAAGCAAATTTAAATCAGGGATGCTGCATCGGTCACGAGTGTGAAAAACGCTCATAAATCACTTTTTTCAGTGCCCTTGTAACTTCAATTGGTCACTAAATGAACTGTTGCTCATGTAGAGTGTCCCAGGATCACGGGATCCTCTTTTGCGACCTTCTGACAAGCAAAGTCAATGGGGAAGCCAGATTCACTTCCCAGCCCTGTGACTAACTTAACAATTGCACTGATTCACTTAACAATTGTGGCAAGAAAGGTTGTAAGATGGAGCAAAACTCACTTAGCAACTGTCTCGTGTATTAATGTGGACCTCAATTGCAGTCGTAAGTCGGGGACTATCTGTATCTTTTGACTGGAATCTTTCATCAGAATGGAGTGCTTTGTACAAGCTGCTCCATTTGGGATTTTAAATCAGATATACAGGTAATCCTCGATTTATGGCCACAAACTGAGTCCAGAATTGCAATCCTTAAGTTATTGCTGTCATTAAGCAAGGCAGCCATGCAATCCAGGCTCTCCCTGTTGCAGTCTTATGCAGAACATGGGTTGTCTCTGTGAGTCATGGTAGTCCTGGGCTGCTGAGTGAATGGTCATAAACTGAGGACTATCTGTATACTTATGAAAGGAATGAATTTGGACTCTTGGACAAAGAAAGTGAAAACCAAGTCACTTGAACTTCTAATCTTTCCTCAAAATTAACTCTAACTTTGATTTACAGGCTTACTACTACCTGTCTGTCAAGGCTTTGTATACAGTTGGCTACAGCACATCCCTCGTTTCGCTCACCACCGCCATGGTGATCTTGTGCCGTTTCAGGTGAGTTGTCACAAAAAGTTGTTTTGACTGGATTAGGTTCTCTGATCAGGTGTGACAGTCTGTTGGTTCAGGCACCAGGCTAGAAACCAGGAGATGATGAGTTCAAGTCCTGCCTTAGCGGTGAATGCCAGCTGGGCCAATCATCAGGTGATAGGGAATTCTAGTTCCACCTTTGATATGAAAACTAGCTGGGGTATTGGGAGATGGTGAGTTCTAGTACTGCCTTAGTCATGAAAGCCACCTGTGTGACTTTGGGTCAATCATTAGGAAATAGTGAGTTCTAGTTTTTGTTTTAGACATTAAAACCAGCTGGGTAACTTTGGGCCACTCACCAAGAAACAGTGAGTTCTAGTTCCACCTTAGGTATGAAGTCAAGCTGGTGTACTCGGGGCCTATCACCAGGAGATAGTGAGTTCTAGTCTCGCCTTAGAAATGAAAGTGGCTGGGTGACTTTGGGCCAATCACCAGGAGACAGGGAGTTCTAGTCCCACTTAGGCATGAAAGCCAATTGGTTGACGCTGGACCAGTCCCTCTCTCTGACCCCAACCCACTTCACAGTATTGTTGTTGTAGGGAAAACAGGAGGAGGATGGTGTGTTTGATATATTCACATGTTTGATATTTATGACATGTCATCAATAAATGATCAAGGACGATCTATGTTTAAAACAGTTATCTGACAAGACTTAAGCCAATGAAGTACAAATAGTCCTCAACTTACAACCCTTCATTTAGTGACCTTTCGAAGTTACAATGGCACTGAAAAAAAGTGACTTATGGCCGTTTTTCACTCTTACGGCCACTGCAGCACCCTCATGATCATGTGACCAAAATTCAGATGCTTGGCAATTGACTCAAAGTTATGACAGTTGCTGTGTCCCAAGGTCCTTTGGGACCTTCTGGCAAGCAAAGCCAAGATTCACTGAACAACCATGCTACCAACTTAACAACGGCAGTGATTCACTTAACAACTGTGGCAAGAAAGGTCGTAAATTGGGGCCAAGCTCACTTAACCAGTGTCTCGCTTAGCAACAGAAATTTTGGAGTCAATTGTAGTCCACCCATAGACATAGGAAGACAGCACGGAGAATGCTTTGCAAACGTAACACCATCTTTCTTCCCCGTTTCTTAAAATCCTTTTTCTTTTTCTTTCCTCTTAGGAAACTGCATTGCACCCGGAATTTTATTCACATGAATCTTTTTGTTTCATTCATTCTGCGTGCCATATCCGTCTTCATTAAAGATGGGGTCCTGTATGCTGAACAAGACAGCAATCATTGTTTTATTTCGACGGTAAATCATGCCGAGAGGCCGAGGCTGCTGGTATTTTAGAGAATCTTGTGTCTGATTTTTGCCAACTCTCTTGGAAAGGTCCAGTAAATATGGTTGCGGCGGCCATGTTGACAATTTTGGACTCTTCTCTGCAGAAACCTGAGGCCCTCTGGCCAGAACTAGGCCTTGTGTCAAGAAACTGTGTGGCAGCTGTCCAGACGAAATCAGAAACACTGACACAAACTCATTTTGTTTTGTTTTTTTAATATAAATAGATGCATTTAACATTTATATTTACAGCAGACAAGGTAATCAGGTACACAGGGACATCATGAGGTAAAATTAACAACATACAGAACACACAAAAGAAAAAAGGCGGGAAAAAAGGGAAACGCCCCCTTCATACTCACAGCAACCAATCATAGGGTAGATCACCTCATGCACGAGAGCCACCACTCTCCAGTCAATCAACAACAACAACTGCATGTTTTGGCCCATTGTGCACTTTATTGTTGTAGCTACTAAATTTTAGATAGATAGATGGATAGATACCCTGTTTCCCCTAAAATAAGACATCCTCTGATAATAAGTCCAATTGGGCTTTTGAGCACATGGCAGGATCTTATTTTCGGGGAAACACGATAGATAGATAGATAAAGATAGATAGATAGATAGATAGATAGATAGATAGATAGATAGATAGATAGATGATAGTAGGTAGGTAGGTAGGTAGGTAGGTAGGTAGGTAGGTAGGTAGGTAGGTAGATGATAGATAGAGATAGATGATAGATGATAGAAGGTAGGTAGGTAGATAGATGATAGAAGGTAGGTAGGTAGGTAGATAGATAGATGATAGAAGGTAGGTAGGTAGGTAGGTAGATGATAGATAGATAGATAGATAGATAGATAGATAGATAGATAGATAGATAGATAGAGATAGATGATAGAAGGTAGGTAGGTAGGTAGATAGATAGATATAGATAGATAGATAGATAGATAGATAGATAGATAGATAGATGATAGAAAGTAGGTAGGTAGGTAGATATAGATAGATGATAGAAGATAGGTAGATGGGTAGGTAGGTAGATAGATTGATAGAACGTAGGTAGGTAGGTAGGTAGATAGATAGAGATAGATAGAGATAGATAGATGATAGAAGGTAGGTAGGTAGGTAGGTAGGTAGGTAGGTAGATAGATAGATAGATAGATAGATAGATAGATAGATAGATAGATAGATAGATAGATGATAGAAGGTAGGTAGATAGGTAGGTAGGTAGATATTTTGACAGAACGTAGGTAGGTAGATAGATAGAGATAGATAGATAGAGATAGATGATAGAAGGTAGGTAGGTAGGTAGGTAGATAGATAGATAGATAGATAGATAGATAGATAGATAGATGATAGAAGGTAGGTAGGTAGATAGGTAGGTAGGTAGATGATAGAAGGTAGGTAGGTAGGTAGGTAGGTAGGTAGGTAGGTAGATAGATAGATGGATGATAGAAGGTAGGTAGGTAGGTAGGTAGGTAGATAGATAGATAGATAGATAGATAGATAGATAGATAGATAGATCATAGAAGGTAGGTAGATAGGTAGGTAGGTAGATAGATTGATAGAACGTAGGTAGGTAGATAGATAGATAGAGATAGATAGAGATAGATAGAGATAGATGATAGAAGGTAGATAGGTAGGTAGATAGGTAGGTAGGTAGGTAGGTAGGTAGGTAGGTAGATAGATAGATAGATAGATAGATAGATAGATAGATAGATAGATGATAGAAGGTAGGTAGGTAGGTAGATGATAGAAGGTAGGTAGATAGGTAGATAGATAGATGATAGATAGATAGATAGATAGATAGATAGATAGATAGATAGATAGAGATGGATGGATGGATGAATGCATAGATAGATAGATAGATAGATAGATAGATAGATAGATAGATAATAGTGATAGATAATAGAGAGAGAGAGATAGATGATGGATGGATGGACGGACAGACAGACAGGCAGGCAGGCAGATAGGGTGATAGTGAGAAATAATATAGCAGATGGATGGATGAAAGAAAAAGAAAGAAAGAAAGAAAGAAAGAAAGAAAGAAAGAAAGATCTTTATTATCCAAGTGTGAATGGACACACATAAGGAATTTGTTTCTGGAAGTGATCAGTGTACATATAAGCAACAGGTGATAATCATAATGATAAAATACAATCATCATAAATTCTAGAGACAACACTCAGTGATAGTCATAGGCTACTAAAGCAGTCAACATAAAACATAATATGATACTAAATAAAAGCAACCAACATCATTGTTGATACAATGATGATACATGAGATACAACAAGTTATAGTCATAAGAAATTAAGGAAATAAGTAATAGGACAGATAACATTTTCACTATATAATTCATATTGGATGGATGGTATATGGTATTGTCCTAACCATTACTGGCAGCCAGTGTAGGACAGCAGAAAAGTGACCTCTTTTAATCCCAGTTGCTCAACTGTGACAGGGTTCTAGGTGTCCGAGTAGACAACCATTTAAGTATGAACCAGCGGTGTATGGCAACTGCCAAAAAGCCAGCGCAGACCTCGGCTGCATCAACAGAAGGATAGTTTCAAGAGTACATAAAGTGTTAGTACCACTTTATAATGCCTTAGTAGGACCACACTTGGGAATTTTGGTTGCCATGAGATTAGGAATTGGAGGCTAAAATGTATGAAGAATAATTGCAGGAGTTGGTTATGTCTAGTTTAACAAGATAACATGACATGATAGTAATCTTCCAATATTTGAGGGGTTGCCACAAAGAAAACGGGGGTCCATCTATTCTTCAAAGTAGCTGAAGACAGGACAAGGAATAATGGGTGGAAACTAATCAAGGAGAGAAGCAACCTAAATTAAGGAGCAATTTCCTGACAGTGAGAACAATTAATCAGTGCAACAGTTTGCCTCCATAAATTGTGGGTGCTCCAACACTGGAGGTTTTTAAGAAGAGACTGGACAACCATTTGTCTGGAATAGTATAGGGTCTCCTGCCTGAGTAGATGGCTGGATTAGAAAACCTCCAAGGTCCCTTCTAACCCTTTATAATTTTGGAATTCATGTCACCCTGCTGGACATAGTTGATTCTGAGTGATCTATTTTATAATTGTTGAAGAACATCAATTATATCTCACAATAGAGCTGCCTTCTCTAACCAGATAGGTAGGGCTACAGCTTCCTCTTCCTGGGTAGCATGGATTCTAACTGGGAACCATGGAAGATGTAGTTCAGGGTAGAAGACCATGACTTGGTCAGGTACAGAGGGCTGAACTCCTTGGCTGTCTTCTGCAGGTAGAAGAAAGTTTGTGATGGATATCTCAAAGAACTTCAAGGAACTGTCCTTAATACAGCCCTTTGCCAACCAACAACTGTTTGATGGCTTGATAGTTTCATCATGAGTATTTTGCACAGATCCTGCCCAGAAATGGTAGAAGAGAGATAGTCTAGCACAGGCGTCTCCAAACCTGGCAAGTTTAAGACCTGTGGACTTCAACTCCCAGACTACTTCAACCAGTCCTGCTGACTGAGGAATTCTGGGAGTTGAAGTCCACAACCTGGCAGAGGAAGTCTTAAAGTTCCCAAGTTTGGAGACCCCTGGTCTAACAGATGGCAGTTATTCATCTGAGGGAAAAGCTAATATGGTGGTTGTCCTCCACAGGTGGAATGCAAAGCAGTGATGGTCTTCTTCCACTACTGTGTGATGTCCAACTATTTCTGGCTTTTTATTGAGGGGCTGTACCTCTTTACGTTACTTGTGGAAACCTTCTTTCCAGAGAGGAGATATTTCTACTGGTACACTATCATTGGCTGGGGTAAGTGCTTCTAGCAGAAGAGAATATGTGTAACTGAGGATTCAACTGTTAGGTCCTTGGTGCTGTCTGAACTTGGTGGTTTCCTTGCAGATGTTTCATAAACCAACTAGGGAACATCATCAGTGCTAGAAAGGAGGGTGCAGTTGTGGAATGATGATGGAGGAGGAGGAGGACTGTGGGGTCCTTGGTGTTCTCTGAGCTTGGTGGTCCCTACTAGGTAGCAGCATCAGGGCTAGAAGGGAGAGGGGTTTGCAGAGAGGAGGAGGACATCTGTGGAGTCCTTGGTGGGTTCTGAGCAAACGTTTCATGACCCAGCTAGGTTACATTATGAGTGCTGGAACTGAGTGGGGATTGCAGATTCATTACTATCTGGGTAGTTCTCAATTTATGGCCACAATTGGGTGGGAATTTCCATAGCTAAGCAAGGCAGTTATTAAAAGTTGAGGACAACCTGTGCTAGCCGTTACATTATCTGTAGCTATGGTAGATCCTTGAGAAGGATCCATTACTCCAAAGAAGCAGATCCAGTCAAACCTGCCTGGTCCACCATGTGTAAGTAATAATATCAACAATGATCGTTATTAGGCCAGTGAACGGCGACCTAAATTCCGGTTTTGAGTGGTAAATTTCCAATTGTCCCAGGTTCCATCAAACTTTCTTCTTCTCTTCTCCAGGAACTCCAACCATTTGTGTCACAGTCTGGGCAGTCCTTCGGCTTCACTTTGATGACATTGGGTAGGTGGCATGGCACACCTCTTCCTTGGCATCGTTGCGGGTCACCCCTGGCAAAGTTTTGCACAGTGTCCTTCAGGCTTTGGGGTCGTCAAGATTGCACAATTCCCATTAATTCTGGTTAATCAAACGATTGTGACATCTTCGTTAATCCCTCCACTTTAGTGTCAACATGGTGTCTGTGTGTGTTTGTGTGTAAGAAAGAGAGATACAGAATACAGGTAGTCCTCGACTTATGACCATAATTGAGTTTGGAATTATGGCTGTAATTTGTGGCAATCATCAGTCGTGGAGCAGCACACTATTTTTGAATCATCAATAAGCGAACGGCACAGTCATTAAGTGAATCCATTGTTTGTTTGTTTTTCAAGAAATCGGAATTAAACATCGGTTTCTGCAAAAAAAAAATGTCATAAATGGAGGTCATGTGATTGCAAATAGTCATACATGTGGGCCAAAATGCAATCATGTGACCATGCGTTGATAACTCTGAAACCAGCTCGTAGATAGCTCTAGGGAGGACGTAACTTTGAATGGTTGCAAAGCGACCAGTCGTAAATTGAGGACTATCTGTAACATGTAATCTGGATACCGCTGTTGAGTGATCATTTTGCTTTTTCTAAGTGATTCTTTTTGCTTCTTTATGAAGCCAGGAAGCAGATGCATAATAAAACAAATGAGTAGGAAAGGAATCCATAAAATCTGTATTTTGAATTAACTGAGTTTTAATTAATATTAAAAGAATTTAGTTAATTCTGTATCTAAGATTCAGGTGAGCCTTCAAAGAATAAAGGTTAAGTTTCCTATAAGAAATACAGGTAGTCCTCAATTTACGGCCACAACTGAGACCAGAATTTCCATTGCTAAGCAAAGCAGTTGTTAAGTCATGCCTGATTTTACAATCTATTTTGCCATGGTTGTTAAGTGAATCACATGCCCGTTAAGCAACTCTGGCTTCCACCATTGACTTTGCTTGTGGGAAGCTGAGAGGTCACAAATGGTAATTACATGACCCCAGGATGTTACAATCACAAATACACGCCAAGCACCCAAATTTTGATCATATGACCATGGGAAATGCTGCAACCGTTGTAAGTGTGAGGACTATTCATAAGTCACTTTTTTTCCAGGGCCCTTGCAACTTTGAACAATCACAAAATGAATGGTTGTAAATCAAGGGCTACCTGTATTTGTTTTGGGCAGGCAATTTCAATTTTATTCCTAAATCCTCTTGACTTTCCTTCTTCTTTTCCCATCAGCTGTTGGGACATGAATGACAACACTGCTTTATGGTGGGTAATCAAAGGTCCAGTTGTGGCGTCCATAATGGTAAGTCCATTAGCATGTAAGGATGGTCCAGCCATTGGCCACAGCTCAGCATGAATCCAAAATTAAGTAAGATTAAAACCTACGGTGTGACTTTATACCACACTGGTAAGACTACGCTTGGAATACTGCATCCAATTCTGGTCACCACAATCCCAAAAAGACGTGATGGGTTTCAAAATTTTTTACACCCAGTTCTGTGGGTGTGGCATGGCTTGGTGGGCATGGCTTGGTGGGCGTGGCAGGGGAAGAATACTGTAAAATCTCCATTCCCACCCCAATCCAGGGGAAGGTTACTGGAAAATCCCCATTTCCTCACGATCAGCTGCGACTCGGGAAGCTGATAATAGATGGGAGTGGAGCCAGTCAGAATTTTTACTACCGGTTCTCCAAACTACTCAAAATTTCCACTAGCGGTTCTTCAGAACTGGTCAGAACCTGCTGAAACCCACCTCTGGTTGAGACCATAGAAAGTATGCAGAGAAGAGCAATGAAGATGATTAGGGGTCTGGAGGCTGAAACATGCAATTAATGATTGTGGGAACTGGGAATGTCTAGTTAGTTTAATGAAGAGAAGGACCAGGAGTGACATGAGAGCAGTCTTCCAATTTTTGAGGTGCTATCACAGAGAAGAGGGGGTCAGCTTATTTGATGTAGCTGGAAATAAGACTGTACACATTCACGCATGAGACAAGTTGGGCCTTTTTGACCTCAGAAAAAAACAACACCAATGGTTGGAAAAATTATACCAGGCTTAATTTGGGTATAGAAGTATACTCAATTAAGTATGACTTTTCTGAATGTAGTTTGACGATTAGTAGGGCCCCAACTAATTGCAAAATTTAGAGATGTTTGCAAAGAATTGTAGATAGTCCTTGAAACAGTATTTTCATTTTAATTCTTGACTATTAGGCAGGAGAAAACTGAATATGCTGACATGGAGTATAGGTAGTCCTCGACTTACAACCACAATTGGGCCCAGAATTTCTGTTGTTTACTGAGAAAGTTGTTAAATGAGTTTTACCCCATTTTACAACCTTTGTTGTCACAGTTGTTAAGTGAATCACTGCAGTTGTTAAATTAGTAACACTGTTGTTAAGTGAATCTGACTTCCCCATTGACTTTGTTTGTCAAAAAGTTGCATAAGGGAATCACATGATCCCGGAAACTGCAACCGTCATAAATATGAGTCAGTTGCCAAGTGTCTGAATTTTGATCTCGTGACCATGGGGATGTTGCAACAGTCATAATTGTGAGGACTGGTTGTAAGTCCCTTTTTTCACTGCCATTGTAACTATGAATGGTCACTAAATGAATTGTTATAAGTCAAGGACTACCTCTATGTAGAATACCTTAGAAAATAATGATTGTTTCGCACATTAAGGATGCTGCAGATATTCTGACATTTTATTTCATTAGCTTTCAAAGAGTGGATTGCAGAAAAATTGAGTTTACTAGGCAGAGAATAATTTGCTATTTTAATTGGAAGACACCAATTACTTTATCATTGACTGATCCATTTCTTCTTTCTTTTCCCCTGTTTCCAAGATCAATTTTTTGCTTTTCGTGGGCATCATCATTATCTTGGTTCAGAAACTCCAATCTCCAGATATTGGGGGCAACGAATCCAGCATCTACTTGTAAGTATACTGAGAAATGTTCAAAACACCACAATTTTGATCTATGAGATACCTGTAGGAAAAATAAAGGGTTCAAGTATTCTTTAGAAGAGAATATTTGCAGCTTGGGGTTAAACTGGTGAGTTTTCAGTGATATGTGAGTTTGGCAATTTTCTTGCAGACATTACATGACCCAACTAGGGAACATCATCAGTGTTAGAAGGGAATGGGGATAGGAGGAGGAGGAGGAGGAGGAGGAGGAGGAGGAGGAGGAGGACGACGAGGAGGAGGAGGACGAGGAGGAGGACGAGGAAGAGGAAGAAGAAGGAGGAGGAGGAGGAGAGGAGGAGGAGGACAGGGGGGAGGAGAAGGAGAAGGAGAAGGAGGAAGAAGGAGAAGAAGAAGAAGAAGAAGAAGAAGAAGAAGAAGAAGAAGAGAAGAAGAAGAAGAAGAAGAAGAAGAAGAAGAAGAAAAGAAGAAGAAGAAGAAGAGGAAGGAGGAGGAGGAGAAGGAGAAGGAGAAGGAGAGGGGGGAGGAAAGGAGAAAGAAGGAGAAGGAGAAGAAGAAGAAGAAGAAGAAGAAGAAGAAGAAGAAGAAGAAGAAGAAGAAGAAGAAGAAGGAAGAAGAAGAAGAAGAAGAAGAAGAAGAAGAAGAAGAAGAAGAAGAAGAAAACTGTGAGGTCATTGGTGTTCTTTGAGCTTGGTAGTTTTCTTGCAGACATTTCATTACCCAACTGGATAATAACATCCGTGCTAGAAGAGAGAGGGGTTTGTGGAGAAGAGAGGAGGAGGGAAAGAAATGTGGGGTCCTTGGTGTTCTCTGAGTTTGATTATTTTATTGCAAATGTTTCATGACCCAGCTAGGTAACATCATCAGTACTAGAAGCAGGGGAGAAAGCAAATCTCATTTCCTTATAACACTGATGATATTACCTAGTTGAGTCATGAAACGTTCACAAGAAAACAGTCAAGCTCAGAGAGCACCAGGGACCCAGAGTTTTGTTTGGCCATAAATAAAATCAACAGTAATTGCAAGCATCAATCATACCTTACGTTGTTGGTTACACATCTTGCTTGTGGGAAGGAAGATTCTTCCTTATCAGTTTGCATCAAACGACAGAATTTTAGGAGGGGGGGGAGAAACAATTTTTTTTGAAAGAGCAGCATTTGGAGTAGGAAAAAACAAGACCCCTGGCCCCAAATGGACATGTGAGTCGTGTAGTCCTCGACTTGTAACCATTCATATTAGTGACTGTTCGAGGTTACAATGGCATTGAAAAAAAATGACATGACCGTTTTTCATACTTACGACTGTTAAAGCAATATTGTGGCCCTGTGATTAAAATCCAGACTCCTGGCAACATGCATTTATGACAGCTGCAGTGTCATGAGAATCCCCTCTTGTGACCTTCTGACAAACAAAGTCAATTGGGATGGGTGCGTGAGATTCACTGAACAACCGTGTGACTAACTTAACAACCACAGTTATTCACTTAACAACTGTGGCAAGAAAGGTCATAACAAGGGGCAAAACTCAAGAACGGCCTCCCATAGCCACAGAAAATTCGGGTTCAATTGTGGTTGTAAGTCGAGGACTACCTGTACTTGATATCCTCAGGGCTTGCTAGTTGGGAAGGTCATGTAAGAAGAAGAGCTTGATGACCAAGTTAAGACCAAATAAATGGAGCTTTATTAAATATCAGAATGAGCCCTTGCTTTTTCTTCTTCTTCTATCTTGGTGGTCACAACTGCAGTTGGAAAGTCCCCATCAGTGACTCTGTTTCACAATAGTGTTAGTTCCTTATTTGATTGATTTATGTGTCATCAAGTCAATATTTTTTAAAAAATTTGATTTATATGCCGCCCTTCTCCAGAGACTCAGGGCGGCTTACAATGTGTTAAGCAATAGCCTTCATACTTTTTGTATATTTATACAAAGTCAGCTTATTGCCCGCACAAACTGGGTCCTCAATTTACCTACCTTAGAAAGGATGGAAGGCTGAGTCAACCTTGAGCCTGGTGAGATTCAAACTTACAGTAATTACAGACAGCTGGTGTTAATCACAATGCTATCAGTCTGCTGAGCCACCAGGCTCTTAGCAACCCAATACGTAGATGTTCTCCAGAGGATCTTTTCATGACCTGGTTCTTCAGATCTTAAAAGTGGTGAAATCCAAATTTTTTTACTACCAGTTCTGTGGGCATGGCTTGGTGGGAGTGATATGGCTTGGTGGGCATGGCAGGGGAAGGATACTGCAAAATCCCCATTCCTACCCCACCTCTGGGGCCAGCCAGCGGTGGTATTTGCCGGTTCTCTGAACTACTCAAAATTTCCGCTACCAGTTCTCCAGAACCTGTCAGAACCTGCTGGATTTCACCCCTGGTGCAGAGGTCACTGCTGTGTCCATCTACCTTGTTGCTGGTCATCCTCTTCTTCTGTTTCCTTCCCCCCTTCCAAACATCATGAACTTTATGGATTGTCATCAACCTGGTCCTTCAAGTCTTTTAATGGTACCCACTTCTACTTGCTGCTAGTCAATCTCTTCTTCTCTTCTTCTATTCTCCAAAGCACATGAGGACAGGACAAGAAGTAATGGGTGGAAGTTTAAAGGATACATTATTATGCCCATCCACCTTGTTGCTGGTCATCATCTTCTACTCTTTTCCTACCACCCTTCCAAACATGGACTTCTCAAGTGAGATGAATATTCACATTGATTCACTGATTGGCTAAATTGAAGCATCAAGTTGATGTCCACTCCTTAATAATCACACAGTAATTTTTCTCCATGACGATTTGTCTCCAGTCTGCTCCTTCATGTCTTCTAGTGGTGCCCCCACCCCCCATCCACTTTATTGCTGGTCATTCTCCTTTTCTATTCTCCAAAGCACCCGAGGACACAACAAAAAGTAATGGTGGAAGTTTATCAAGGAGAGATGTCTAGGGAGAACAGAACTGAAGAAGCTTCTTAGGTGAGAAGTGAAACATCTTCAAGGAAAAACAAAGAAAGTCCAGTTGCCTCTTCAAAAAGCACCTTCGGGACATCAAGGAGAGAAGCAACCTAGAACTAAAGAGAAATTTCCTATCAGTGGGAACAATTAACCAGTGGAACAATTTACTTTCAAAAGTTGTGGATGCTCCATCACTGGAGGCTTTTAAGAAGAGATTGGACAACCAATCATTTGTCCAGAACAGTGTTTCTCAACCTTGGAAGCTTGAAGATGGGTGGACTTCAACTCCCAGAATCCCCCAGCCAGCCGCTGCTGGCTGGGGGATTCTGGGAGTTGAAGTCCACCCATCTTCAAGCTTCCAAGGTTGAGAAACACTGGTCCAGAATAGTATAGGTCTCCTGCTTGAGCAAGGGTTGGACTAGAAGACCTCCAAGGTCCCTTCCAACTCTGTTCTTCCGATGTTTTGTTCCCTTCAATCATCCCCAGCATCAGAGACTTCTCCAGAGAAATATATTTTCATATTATAATGTGTCTAAAATATGATCATTTTAGGCCGGCCATTTGTGCTGCAAGTCATTTGGTTCTTTAAAACACCCCTCCTCAAAAATGATGAGATTCGGAAGACACATAAACTATTTAAAATTTCATTTTAAGATGAAGGATATATTTTTTTAAGTAAAAACACAGCTGCCTCCTTCAGAAATTCTAGGAATAAAATCCATACCAATCAGTTGAACGCTTTATCCTAAATTATTTAAACCATTTCCTCAATTGCTATTCTACCGCAGTTAATTGATTCTGGTGAATTAATTAAAAGAAAGTCAAAGTACCGGTCTAGAAATGAACCTTCAATTCTTTGAACCATTCAGAATAACAGAACAGAAGTGAAAACCAACAAGGCAGTACACTATCAGAATGTTTTTGAGATTTTATGAATGCTGAATTAATGGCTACCATGGCATAAAAATGTAAGAATTTATTATTTCTGATACTTCGGTACAGATAGTCCTTGACTTAACAATTGAGCCCCAAATTTCTGTTGCTAAGTGAATTTTGTTAAGTGAATTTTGCCCTTTCTTGCCACAGTTGTTAAGCGAATCACAGCAGTCGTTAAATTAATCACACGGTTGTTAAGTGAATCTGGCTTCCTCATTGACTTTGCTTATCAGAAGTTTGCAAAAGGGATGATGTGACCCCAGGATACAGCAACCGGCTTAAATACAAATCAATTGCCAAGTGTCTGAATTTTGATCACATGTCCGTGGGGATGCTGTAATGGTTGTAAGTGTGAAAAATGGACCTAAGTCACTTTTTTCAGTGCCGGTATAACTTCAAACGGTCACTAAATGAACTGTTGTAAGTCGAGGACTCCCTGTATATGTTTGATGACTCTTTTCCTCCTGTTGGGCGGATGTAGTTTACAATTCCTAATTCAATATTTTATAAGCAAGGCTTCGCTTTTTCTGCCCTTGCGATTTTGATGGATGATTTCCATTAGGGCAAATTGCCAGCTCTCAGCCTTATTTCCTCTAAATGTCAGGTTTAATGGTTTGTCATCAGCAATGAACCATAGCAGAAAAATAGGTAGAAAGGTAACATTTGGAGCCGTGCAGAAGCTTGTTGATAGAGAAACCGGTCTCCATGGAGAATGTTTTACAGAATTAGAGACTAACAAAAAATGTAAGGGACCTTGGAGATCTTCTAGTCCAACCCCTTACTGTTTTGGACAAATGATTGTCCAATCTCTTCTTGAAGAGCTGCAGGGATAGACCAGAATAATAACAGAATGACAGAGTTAGAAGGGACCTTGGAGGTCTTCTAGTCCAACCCCCTGCTCTTGCAGGAGACCCAATACCATTCCAGACAAATGATTGTCCAATCTCTTCTTAAAAACCTCTAATATTGGAGCATCCACAAATTCAGGAGACAAACCGCTTGACTGATTAATTGTTTTCACCGTCAGGAAGTTTCTCTTTTATTCTAGGTTGCTTCTCTCTTTGTTCAGTTTTTATCCGTTGCTTCTTGTCCTGCCTTTAGGTGCTTTGGAGAATAGATTGACCCCCTTTTTCCTTGTGGCAGCCCCTCAAATATTGGAAGACTGCTATCATGTCACCTATTCCTTCTTTTCATTAAACTAGACATACCCAATTCCTGCAACCGTTCTTTATAGGTTTTAGCCTCCAGCCCCCTGATCATCTTTGTTGCTCTTCTCTGCACTCTTTCTAGAGTCTCCACATCTTTTTTATATCATGGTGATCAAAATTGGATGCAGTATTCTGAGTGTGCTCTTTCCAGTATAAAGCTGTACTACCAGTTCTCAAGATCTTATGCTATCCTTCTATTGATACAGCCTACGACTGCATTGGGGAATTGGCAGCTGCAGCTCACTCTTGGCTCATAGCTAAATGTTAAGTTAATTTTGATTTGAAACTCAGTTGTAGCCCAGCATCTTCACCACACCTGGGAATTTAAGTCAGGGAGGGGCAATAAATATCCCTGAGCTATTTTGCAGTTGTCAAATTAGTCAGATTTCAGTAGTGCTGTTGCAGAATATGGAATATAGAATTCTTTGCGGTTTCTTTGGCAAAAAAACCCCTCTCATCCAACCTTCAGAAAAGGCCAGTGCATTTCCAAAACAAGGCTAAAACACCGAAACCTTCCCCAAGCAGAAGAAATAAAAGGAAAATGTCATTTTCTTGGTATCTTGTTCCCACTTTGTACCTTCATCCTACCCACCAAAGCAGGGATCTCCAAATTTGGCAAATTTAAGACTTGTGGGCCTCAGTTCCCAGAATTTCCCAGTCAGCATAGCTCGGGAATTTCAAAATAAATATGAACCAGTTGCCAAGTGTTTGAATTTTGATCCTGTGACCATGTAAGTGTGAAAAATGGTCCGAGGTCAGGGCTGTTGTAACTCCGAATGGTTGCTAAAAGAATGGTCGTAAGTCGAAGACTAGCTGTAAAATAGAATTACCTCATCTAGTTGTTTTTCCAGTCTGGTCTACCTTGCAAAGCTGACATCATTGGGGCTTCTTGAACCTAAATCTCATGCATTCCGAGTTTTCATGAACATTTAGGAATATTCCTATATTTGCTTCCATGACTTCCTTTGAATGCTTAACAGCAATGCAGATAGTCCTCGACTTACGACTACAATTGAGCCAAAAATTTCTGTTGCTAAGTGAAACATCGGCTAAGTGAATTTTGCTCCATTTTTTTTTTTTTTACTTTTCTTGCCACCGTTTATAAAATGAATCACTGCACGGTTGTTAAGTGAATCTGGCTTCCATGTTGGTTTTGCTTGTCAGAAGGTTGCAAAACGGGGGGGTCACGTGATCCTGTGAAACTGCAACGTCATAAATACATGTAGTTCTCAACTTACAACCACAACTGAGCCCAGCATTTATGTTGTTAAGTGAAAATTTGTTAAGTGAGCTTTGTCCCATTTTACGACATTTCTTGCCACAGTTGTTAAGTGAATCACTGAAGCTGATAAGTTAGTAACCTGGTTCTTAAGTGAATCTGGTTTCCCCATTGACTTTGCTTATCAGAAGGTCGCAAAAGGGGATCAGTTGGCCCCGGGACACAGCAACGGTCATAAGTATGAACCAGTTGCCGAGGGTCTGAATTTTGATCACATGACTGTGGGGATGCTGCAAAGGTTGTCACTCTGAAAAACGATCATAAGTCCCTTTTTTCAGTGCCGTTGTTACTTTGCAAGGTCACTAAATGAATTGTTGTAAGTTGAGGACTATCTGTTACAGTTGTGGCTTTTTTCTACACTGAAACTTCAGCAAAATTCTCTCCCATCTTTTCTTCCTATTTATGCGTTTCCCCCACCACCCACCACCACCACCACCACTGTTGCTTAAGATCTGGACACTTTTATCACCTGCAATCATGGTTTGTTCCATCTGCTTGACATGGTCTGCTTGTGTTGTAGCGCCACACAACATTACATCTTGCTTTTCTCACACTTTCTGCATTGCTTTTGCCTCTGGGCCATTCTGCTGATCAGTTTTATTGATTCATTAAATCGATCGGGTTTTGAGGAGGATGTTTAAATTGGACGGACTGCTAGTCCTTGATCTGATGAACCTGGAGAGGAGCTGTGGGGGGGGGGGGGGAAAGCAAATTTTTTTTTGTTTTTTTTGTGTTTTGTTTTGTGTTTTTATTTTTCCTTTTTTTTTTTTTTTTTGGGCTGACCTCGTCCCACACTCAGCAGCTGCGTTCAGAAATGCTACTGTAAGTCCGAGAGGACTAACCAGCATTCTTGCAGGATGGCTGAACTATCCATCATCACCCTGTAAGTGTGCGAATCCCGTGAATTATGTCTGTGTTTTTGACGCATGCCACTTAAAACGTCGAGTGTGGTTTTTGTAAGCACCGGCTGACATAACAACGGGATGCTGCCGCATGATGCCTTGCTCTGTCTTGTCGTGTGGTTTTTGTCGCCGATCGTGTCGCTATCGAAGAGCTGAACGTCCTGCCTCGAAATGTATCAACCCATGGAATTAAAATACAGATAGTCCTCGACTTACAACCGTTCCGAGTTACAACGGTCCTGAATAAAGGGATTTAAGGACTGTTTTTCACACTTACAACCGTTGCAACTTCCCCACGGTCACATGATCCAACTTCGGGTGCTTGGCAGCGTCCCGGGGTCACATGATCTCCTTTTGTGACCTTTTGACAAGCAGAGTCAATGGGGAAGTTGTATTCACTTAACAACTGGGTTACTCGCTTAACAGCTGCATTGATTCCCTTAGTGAATGTGGCAAGAAAGCTCGCAAAATGGAGCAAAATTCACTTAACAGCTTAGCAGTGGAAATTTTGGACACAATTGTGGTCATAAGTCGAGAACTCCCTGTAGTAGATTACAGCTCTTTTTGTTCAGTTGTGTCTTTCTCTTTCCCCCACCCACACTTACAATGTCCTGGTGCTAATACCAGTATCACAATAAGGTCCTTTGGGTGTTTTAGTGATAGATCTACACGTTTCCACACAACCATGTTAATTTTTCCTCATAAAATAAGTGAGGTCTGATTTCTACTTTTCCTGAATGCAGACCTACAGGTACTCTCCACTTACGACCGTTCACTTAGCGACCATTCACAGTTATGACAGGCCTCCCAGGATTCCTTCCAATAAGGATTCAAAATTTCAATGGCCACCTCCCCTTGTAGTCACATGATCGCGTTTTGGGCACAAAGTCTGCATTTATGACCATTTACAGTGTTCCGTGGACAGCTGACCACAATTTATAATTATTATTTTTTTTTGCCAAGAACTGGTTTTCAGCAAAAAAACACCCATTGTGGGCAATGGATTTGTTTAAAGACCACTGTGTTCATTTAAGAACGCCTGCTTTAATTTAACAAGAGCTGCAAAAAAGACCATAACATTGGCTGGTGGTGACATGCTTAGTGACTGGCATGACTGTAATTTTTGACTCAAGTATGGTCGTAAGATGAGTTCACGGAGTGACTCTTCAGAGTTACAACAGCAGTGAAAAAAATGATTAGGATTGTTTTTCAAATTTAAGACCGTTGCAGAATCCCCACAGTCATGTGAACAAGATGGCAACTGGTTCATACTTATGACGGTTGCAGTATTCCGGGGTCATGTGATCCCCTTTTGCAACCTTCTGACAAGCAAAATCAATCAGGAAGCCAGATTCACTTAACAACCGTGTGACTAATTTAACAACTGCAGGGATTCACTAAACAACTGTGAGAAGGAAAGTGGTAAAAATGGAGCAAAACTTGCTTAAAAAACATCTCACTTAGCAACAAAAATTTTGGGCACGACTGAATGGAGAGATGGGCAGTGTTTGATTTGAATAAGTCAAATAAAAATGAAATAAGTGAAATAAAAGTTAGTCGTAGGCAAAGGCCAGCAATGGAGCCAAAAGTTGATTATCATTATGGGGTACTGATAGAGTAGCTTGAAGCTCAGGGTTGATCTTTGGGGTCCTTGGTGTTTTCTTGCAGATGTTTCATGACCCAACTAAGTAACTTCATCAGTGCTAGAAGGGTGTGGGGTTCTAGCTTTTAGCACTGATGACATTACCTAGTTGGGTCATGAAACATCTGCAAGAAAACACCAAGGATCCCACAGTTCACGGATGGGTTCTACTTACCTTTACTACCTGTTCGCAATGGGGCCGCGCGCACGCTCTTCTGTGCAAGTGCAGAAGCTTCTATGCATGGCATAGAAGCGTTTTGATGACTTCGGGGTCGGTGGGCGGAGCCTTCCGCCGGTTTTACTACCGGTTCTATAGAACCGGTGCGAACTGGGGGCAACCTACCCCTGCCACAGTTATTATAGGGTGCTTGAGATCAAATGGGAAATCTGAGCTAATTCTTTCCAGCCCTTGATGGTATAGGAGATTAGAAGTACTCCTGACCTCAATAAGGACATGTAACTTTCATTGTTTGGTTTATCTCCACAGGCGGTTGGCCCGATCCACCTTGTTACTCATCCCACTCTTTGGGATTCACTACACAGTGTTTGCCTTTTATCCAGAGAATGTCAGCAAAAGGGAGCGCTTGGTTTTTGAACTGGGGCTTGGTTCCTTCCAGGTGGGTTATGTAGTTCTAAATAGTTCTCTCTCTCTCTCTCCCTCCCTCCCTCTCTTTCTCTCTCTCTCTCCCTCTCTCTCCCTCCCTCCCTCCCTCTCTCTCTCTCTCTCTCTCTCTCTCCCCCTCCCTCCCTCTCTCCCTCTTCAAGCATCCCATGGAAAATGAGGTGGTCATTAAAACTTCAGATGATTGTGTAATCCAGTGTTTCTGAACCTCAGCAACTTGAAGATGTGTGGACTTCAATTCCCAGAGTTCCTTAGTTGGATGGGGAATTCTGGGAGTTGAAGTCCAACCCTTTTAAAGCTGCCAAGGTCAAAAAACATTAAGGCTGTCAGATGTAAATGCCTTATTCTCCAATGTGTAAATAATGTATATATGGAACATCAGAGGTTAACTTATTCTTTGGACTTTAATGTATTCATAACTTACCACTCCCATTCCTAGCTCCACCCCTTGTATATATAAGGAGCCACCCTCACCATTCTCGTCGCTTCTACCTTGAATATTCAGTGAATATAGAATGCCTATCATAATTAAAAAGAAATATATTTAAAGCTCTAACTCCTATTATCTTTATTGAGTCTGATCCTGAAAATATTGCAACAAGCTGGTAGCAGAGGATGGTTAATTGACTCAATAAGTAATTAAAAATGTCCAAGAAAGATAGGCCCAACACCAGGGCCTACAGCAAAGAAATAGAAACTGATCAAGAGATGATCAACGAATCCACCAATGCGATTTCGAGAGAATCCGAAGAATACACCACTGAAGAAGAAGAACTAATGAGTGAAAATAATGACCAGAAAGAAATCGAAATAGAAAATAACGAACTCAGGTCAGAGATATTAAAGGTACTAAAAAGCCAAAAGAATGATGAAAGTCTCATCGCGGACCTCCAGGAGATGCTGAAGAACAGCGGAGCAGCGAGAGAGAAAAACGTCATTAAAGAAAAACCCAAAGATCAAAAAATCGTAAGTGAGATGACTACTGAGAAAATAGTTGTTAAAAAGAAAAGATGTGATCCCGCGCGAAATTTTGAATGGCAGCCATCTTGGTTTCAACGAACTTCAAAAGAGAATGGAGCAGAGCCAATCAAAACGCTCAGTTCAAAATTTCTGGCGCGAAAAACACTATCAGACGAAGAAAGTGAGAAAGAAGTCTCAAACTCTTCAGATGATCCAAAATCAGAAAGTGAAGACGATTTAACAAAATCTCAAGTAAAATCAGCAATGAAAACGCTTTTTGCTGCTTTTGGGCCAAGACTGAAAATTACCAAGACATCTACGAAGAAGCAAGAAATCAAACCGGCGACTCAAGACCTGCACGCTCCCATCCTGACTTCGAAAGCGACGACGCCCGAGCCCAGAGAGCCATGCCGATTTCGCCCTACATCACAGACAAAATCGAATACCAACGCACACAAAAAGAAGAAAAGAACCGTCACCACCACCAGAACCCCAAAAACCGAGCCAGAGACCGACTCATCTGAGGAGGAGCGGATCGAGAGAGCTGAAAGGGAGAGAACCTTCCACGACGCCACCAAAGAAGAAATGAACAACGCGCATGTGCGAAACTACGTAGACGACCCAGAAGGACTTGAACTGGCCAGAGAACCGCGCAGACTCATTGCAAGCATCCCAATGCCGTTCTGTAATTTCCTGCACTTGAGAGATCACGGACTGCCCCAGGTTGTAAGTAATGGACAGAATAATGTAGGTAACTTACCCAGTGACTTCCCAAAACTTAGAATTGATGGCATTAATTTACAAGAGTGGTATCAACAGCTTCAGGTTATTTTCATGAAAGAAAATTTACTATTCTTTATAACTAGCCCTCCAAGAAGACCTTGGACTTTAAAAATAGATTGTTTACATCATAGAGCATTTTTCATAATAATATCTAGCGTGTCTCCTGCAATGTATCATAGCATCAAACCAAACCTAACTGTATCAGAAATAATTCAATGCATGTTTAATCTATTTCACAGCGATAGCGTAGCTACAACCACAAGAATGTCTAAGGATTTCTTTTCCTCTAGAGTAAAACCAGGGGTTTCTATAAGTGAGCATTTGATAAATCTAAACAAAATAAGAGCTGAGCTACAATTGAGGGGGGAAGTGATTTCAGATCAAACAATGAAAAGTGTTATTATCAATTCACTTGATCCATCATGGGATAGCTTTATGTCACACTTAGATACCATTAATTTGGGATATTTATCCATAGAAAGTCTATCTAACAAATTGATAGCAGAAGACAATTCAAGAAAAAACCGATCCAGTAACCAAACAGACCACAAACCTTTTAGGAAAGTAGTCTTTCAAGATAAACATAATGAGGCCTTTAGATGCTACAATTGTGGATCCAGGGAACATAGTAGAAGAGACTGCCCCAAAGTCTCAAGAGAGAGACATAGACCAGAATATAGGAGCAAATATAATTACAGACAATCTTCCACAGATAGACACAAATATAGAAGCCCACCAAATTACAAAGAAGGTAGAGGGGGTAGAGAAAATTCAAAAGAGAGGAAATCTGGGTCACTGAATGGGCTAAATAAACAAGACAGCACCAGAACACAGCAGGATGAGAATAACAATTGGCTTATTGATTCTGGTGCAACAAATCACACCACCAACAACAAAAGTATATTATCTTCATTTATAGAAGATAAGTTTGTGATAAAGGTAGCTAATCAAGAAAAGGTTCAAGTACTAGGCAAAGGAAATGTGACCTTGCCTGGTCTAGGGAAAATAGAGGGGGTATTATTAATCCCAGAAATACCTCACAACATACTAAGTGCCATAAAATTAAGCAGAGAATCTGATATCAATATAGTTTTCTCAAAGGGGAAAGCAACTATAGAAAAGAACAAAACAAATGTAGGTACTGTAATGATAAAAGGAGGTCTACCCTATCTGATAACTAAAGAAAGATGTTTACATAACATTGATTCAAATATGGAAGATTGTATTGAAGCAGATGATGAAAATGTCAGTAACAGTGACAATGATGAGTGTAGAATAACTCATGATCACAAAAACACATACAAGGAAAAGAAACCAAAAATAGGTAAACCAATTCATGATGAGTGTGCTCACATCTTACACAGGAAGTTAGGACATGCAAGCTTTCCTGTAGTACAAAAAATGACTGAACACGCAGAAGGTGTCAAAATAAAAAATTGTGAAAATTATTTGGAATGCTCAGTATGTAAGTCCACCAAACTAAAAACCAGTCCCAGACCAAAAAAATCTAACAGATCAACTAACAATATTTTTGATTTGGTACATATGGACTTAGTTGGTCCATTAAGTCCCTCAATTACCTATAGAAAACGTTACTTCCTAACAATAGTGGATGACTACAGCCGATATGGTTTTGTTTACACATTAAAGCACAAGGATGAAACATTTCAGAAATTTAAGGAATTCTACAAACGTATAGAAACACAACATAATATCAGAATAAAGCAAATTATGACAGATAGGGGATGTGAGTTCATGTCTAAAGAATTCTCCCAATGGTTAAAGGATAGAGGAATGTTACATTTCACGTCCAATCCTTTTTCTGCATTTCAAAATGGAGTTGCAGAGAGGAAAAATTCCACACTACAAACCATGATTAGGTGCACATTAGAGGATGCTGGTTTAGGCAAACAATTTTGGTCAGAGGCATTACATTATTCGAATTACACTCAAAATAGAACCTGGTCCAGTATTGTGAATAAGACACCATATGAGGTGATGTACAATAGAAAACCCAAATTATCACACATGCACATATTTGGAGTCACTGCAGACGTACACATACCTAAACAATTGAGGAGAAAGGGAGAAAACGTATCCAGGAGATTAAGATTCATGGGATACGAAACTGGAACCAAAGGGTACAGATTTATTGATAGTAATAACAAATTTATAGTATCCAGAACAGCTGTGTTCCATGAACAGGCCAATTGGTCAAAATTGCACCTTAATGAAATATTTCCTAATAAATGTAAAGATACGATATCTTGCGAGGAAGGAACAACAGAAAATCAAAATATTAACAAAAGTAAGAACAAAACCAAAACTTGGACTAATAGTCAGCATAAAATAAAGACAGACACATTAACAAAAAAGGAAGCTAGATATTTGCATGATAACCATAGCAAGCCTGAAAGAACTATTAGAAACAATAGAAACCAAATACCAAATAAATACAAAGATTACATAATGCATATGAATGGAGAACAAATAACACCTAATACATATGAAGAAGTATTGAAACTTCCACATGAAGAAAGAGAAAAATGGGAACTAGCTATGGAAAAAGAGATGGAAAGTTTACAAGGATTAAATGTATTCACACCTGCGATCGCACCTAAGGATAAAACAATTATAGGTACCAGGTGGATTTATAAAATTAAGAACTTAGAAGGAGGCAATACCTTATACAAGGCTAGACTAGTTGCACAAGGCTATGCACAAAAATATCCAGAAGACTATACTGATACATATTCACCCACAGTGAGAACAGAGAGTGTCAAAACAGCCCTTGTAGTAGCATCTGCACTCAATCTGGACGTATTCCAATATGACATACAGACCGCATACTTACATGCAAAATTAGATAAGGAAATATATGTAAGAGCACCACACAGTCAATACACTAATAAGAACGAAATTTGGTTATTAAATAAGAGTCTGTACGGATTAAAGCAATCCGGCAAAAGATGGTACGATTGCTTGGTAAAAGTACTTAAGACCATGGATTTCAACGCCACCACTGCTGATAACTGTTTCTTTGTAAAAAAGAGTAATGATCATATTGAATTTGTATTAATTTACGTGGACGATATTTTATACATTGGAAAGCAAAAAGAGAGCAGGGAAATCTTTGTAAATAAGTTAAATGAACACTTCTCACTGAAATCTCTGGGTAAAGTGAATAAATACCTTGGTGTGCAAATTAACAAAACTAAAAGGGGATTCAAACTTACACAGAAAGATAAAATCATCGAACTCCTAAACAAATGTAACTTAAATAATGCTAAAACCTGTGACACCCCTATGCAAACTGATTTTCTTAGAAACACTGATGAATCTTCCCCTGAGTTTAAAGACAACACATTTTACAGATCAGTTATAGGTTCACTCCTTTATATATCTAATTGGACTAGGCCAGATATTGCATTACCTCTCAATCTATTGTCAAGATATGTTAGTAAACCAACCTTGTATCATTGGGAAGCTGTCAAAAGAATTCTAAGATATCTGAAGGGTACATTAGATTTTTGTTTAATGTTGGAACCCAATAATGACAGAGAACCAAAAATTACTTGTTATGCTGATGCAGATTGGGCTGGTGATACATCATGCAGAAAGAGTACTTCTGGTTATGTTTTTCTATTGAATGATTGTCCAGTTTACTGGTATACTGGTAAACAAGAACTAGTAGCCACTTCTACTACAGAAGCGGAATATGTTTGTTTGTCCAAAGCTGCAAATAACCTTGTATGGTTCAATGATCTGATCACTGATGTTTGGAAGAAACCCACCTTACCATTTATTATGCATGAAGACAATAAAGCGGCCATTGAAATATCCAGATCCGATGCAATTGGACAAAGGTCCAGGCATATTGATATAAAGTTTAAGCATGTGAGACAACTGTCTCAAGACGGATTCATTAAAGCAATACATTGCGATACTTCTGAACAATTAGCTGACATATTAACAAAACCCTTACCTTCTAAACAACACAAATATTTAACTTCTAAATTATATGTATTATATTGTCCTGAATCAGAATGTAATTGGTGTTGTGTAACGAACCGGCATTTAGAGGGGGATTTGTCAGATGTAAATGCCTTATTCTCCAATGTGTAAATAATGTATATATGGAACATCAGAGGTTAACTTATTCTTTGGACTTTAATGTATTCATAACTTACCACTCCCATTCCTAGCTCCACCCCTTGTATATATAAGGAGCCACCCTCACCATTCTCGTCGCTTCTACCTTGAATATTCAGTGAATATAGAATGCCTATCATAATTAAAAAGAAATATATTTAAAGCTCTAACTCCTATTATCTTTATTGAGTCTGATCCTGAAAATATTGCAACAAAGGCAATGAATGTTTAAATTACACAATAGATTTTCCCATTCTGACTGATAGTTTTCAATACCCATAGATCTCACAATCTCCTGGTTGCTCACCAACGTTTTCCTTCAAGTTTTTAGTAAATGCTTTGTCCCTTTGCATGTCTACATTATAAATCTATGTCCCCCAGCCCACCTTGACCCCCACTTCCTCAACCTATAATATTTCTTTAAGTGAGAAAAACCACTGGCTGAAGAGATTGGACAGCCATTAGTCTGAAATGGTGTAGAGCAGTGATGGCTAACCTTTTTGCCATCGCGTGCCAAAAGCATGTGGAGCACGGGGGGGGTGTTGCGTGTTTCTGCCCACACCCATAATTCAATGTGCCCCCCTCCCACGCATGCACACGATCCCCCCCTGCGCTCCTTAGCATGTGATGGCACGGTGGGCCCAGGAGACCCGTTTTTCACCCTCCCCAGGCTCCAGAGGCTTTCTCGGATGCATGCTGGAGCTGAGCTAGGGCAACGCTCACGTGCCCACCGATATGGCTTCACGTGCCACCTGTGGCACACGTGCCATAGGTTCACCGTCATGGGTATAGAATTTCCGGCTTGAATAGGGGGTCGGACTAGAAGACCTCCAAGGTCCCTTCCAACTCTGTTAGTCTGTTATTCTCTTAAAGAAAAAATCCCAGTCCCTCTAGGAAGCGAAATCAGATCAAAATTAATTAATTAATTAGAACAATTAATCAGTGGAAGAACTTGCCTCCAGAAGTTGTGAATGCTCCAACACTGGAAGTTTTTAAGAAGATGTTGGATGACCATTTGTCTGAAGTGGTGTAGAGTTTCCTGCCTAAGCAGGGGGTTGGACTAGAAGACCTCCAAGGTCCCTTCCCACTCTCTTATTCTGTTTTCTGCTTGAAAATGAAGCCGAGAATATTCCTGCCACATCCATGTTAAGTGTAGAGTTTACGTCAATGAATAATGGCTGTCAGTTTTTGCTACCCCCGAAAAACTTTTGCTTTGTTTCTATTTCAGGGTTTCGTGGTCGCTGTGCTATACTGCTTTTTGAATGGGGAGGTAAGATTTTTTAAAAATGTTATTGGTGTTTTGAAATGTTAGCTTTGCAACTCCAGGTAATCCTCAACTTACAACTATGCGTTTTAGCGACTGTTTGAAATGATAACAGCACTGAAAAGAGGGGCGTATGGCCAGTCCTCACACTTACGACCATTGCAGCATCCCAATGGTCCCGAGATCAAAATTCGTATAATTCCAGGATCACCTTTTGCTACTCTCCAACAAGCACTGTCAATGGGGGGAAACTGGGTTGGCTTAATGACCACATGATTCACTTAACAACTACAGTGATTTGCTAAACAACTGTGGCAGAAAGGTTGTAAATTCAGTTATGATTCATTTAACAACCATCCTGCTTGTCAATGGAGGCTTTTGTCCCAATTGCAGTCATATGTTGAAGACATTCCCCACAATCATGTGATCAAAATTTGGATGCTTTGCAACTGGCATGTACTTAATGATGGTTGCAGCATCCCGGGGTCACGTGATCACCATTTGTGATCTTCTGAGCTGGCTTCCGAGAAGCAAGGTCAGTGGGGAAGCTGGATTCGCTTAACGACAGCATGATTCACTTAACAACTGCAGGGATCCGTTGAACAACCGTAGCAAAAAAAATCATAAAATTGGTCATGACTCACTGAACAGAAACTTTGCCTAGAGATTCTGCTCCCAATTGTGGTCCTAAATCGAGGACTACCTGTCGCAAATCGAGGATTACCTCTTTGTTCCTATGTGAAAAAGGAAAAAGGAGTGGTGGGGAAAATTCTTGCCCTGTGCTATGACCCACCCACCCCCAGCTGTGTCTGGAATGAGATACATGGGGGATTCTGGGAGTTGAAGTCCACCTCTTCTTAAAGGGACAGGTTTAAAGAAAAATGTATTAGACAGAGTCCATGTCAAGCTAACATTTGTCCTAATGTCAATACAGGTAGTCTCGAGTTACCACAGTTCATTTAGTGGCTGTTCGAAGTTACAATGGCACAGGAAAAAGTGACTTATGACCATTTTTCACGCTTACGACTATTGTAGCATCCCCATGATCCAGTGGTGGGGTTCAGCCGGTTCGCACCAGTTCGCTAGAACCTGTTGTTAATTTTATGTGCAGTTCTTCGAACCGGCTGAATTGCCTCAGTGTGACCCGCCTCCTGGCCTTCCTTGCCTGGCCCCACCTCGCCCCTCCCTTCCTGAGGTTCCCAACACCCCCCCACCCCCCACCCCCCAAGAAAACAACCTGTCTCAAGATCCCATGGACAACTTTGGCTCGGGCAGTCGAATTCCACGCTCGTTTCCTGTCTCTGCAAAGCAACAAAATTGCAGAAAGGCCCTGTCGAGCTGAGAATAGGGCTTCAGACAGGGGTGAAATGCACTTACCTTCACTACCGGATCACAAATGTGAGCACGTGCACCTCCTCCACGCATGCACCAGTGGTGGGTTGCTACCGGTTCACCCCGATTTAGGTGAACCGGTAGTAGCAGCAGCGTGCGCACCCCCATGAGCGAACTGGTAGCGACAGGTTTTGAAACCCGCCCCTGGCATGCGCAGAGCCTTCTGTGCATGCGCAGAGGGTCAAAAATGGGATATGATGACATCCAGGCGGGTACTGAATCATGCGAGCTGGATAGATCTGGCTGAATTTCACCACTGGCCTCAGAGGACGCAATTCCTGATAAACGCATGATCATGTGATCAAAATTCAGACACTTGGCAACTGATTCATATTTACAATGGTTGCAGCATCCCCAGGTCACATGACGCCCTTTTGCGACCTCCTGACGAGCAAAGTCGCTGGGGGAGCCAGATTCATTTAACAACCGTGTTACTAACTTAACAACCGTAGTGATTCACTTAACAACCGTGGCAAGCTGGCTTCCCTGTTGACTATGAGCATCAGAAGGTTGCAAAAGGGGATCACATGACCGGGGGGGGGACCGCAATCCATCATAAATATGAGTCGACTGCCAGCAATCTGAATGTCGATCACATGGCCATGGGGATGCTGTACCTTACCGCCATGGTCGCTTTTGTAAGTGTGAAAAACCATCCTAAGTCATTTTTTCCAGTACCGTTGTAAGTTCAAACGGTCACTAAACAAATGGTTGTAAGTAGAGGACTACCTGTAATCTTGCTCAGTTGTCATCCCTGCTAGAGACTTCGGAGACATGGTGGTCAGGTCAAGGGATGGTTTGGAGATTAATCCAGGTTTGCAGAAGGATCTGGGGTGGTAGGCTTGGTGGAGTCAAGGATGCAGCAAGTGATAAGACATTTATTGGCCTCCACTTGGCACAACAATTGGACACAGACACACACACACACAAACAGAGCATTCTAGACAATTTATACCCCATGTGGACAAATCTCTCATTTGGGTTACCGTATTTTTCAAAGTATAAGACGCACCTACCTTTTTTGGTGAGGAAAAGAAGAAAAAGAAATCTCCCTCTGCCTCTGAGCAATTTTGCCTCCTTGCAGCAAACAGCAAACAGCCTGCTTTACTTTCAGTTTCGTTTTCAGCATAGCTTGATTAGCACAAGGGAAAAAAAAATCTGCTCCAGTAATTTACCTCCTTGCAGCAAGCAGCAGAGCCCTGCGCAAAACAGCTGAGAGTCAGGAGACCGATCCAATCAACTTGTGCTAATTAGGCTGTGCTGAAGCTGAAAGGAGCTATTCTTTCTTGCTGTTTGCTTGCAGGAGGTAACTGCTGGGAGGCAGAGGCCAAAGGGTGGGGACCAGTGGGTGGGCGGGGCTACATTCGCACCTAAATTTTCACCCCCTTTTAGGGGGGGGAAAGGTGTGTCTTATACTCCGAAAAATACGGTACTTCTGGTGCCTTGTTTAGATCAATGCACATGTCTAGGAACATCCACAGAGGGCTCAAAATCTGCCAGTTGGTCGGTGTGCATTGCATTCCATCCCCATTCTTCGTACAGATGCACCAATGGGGCAGGTGGCCAGTACTTTAATTCTGCCCTCCATCTTCCAAAGGTTGACCCACACTCTTGTAGATCCTGCTGCATGTGCACAGAGACTCTTTAAACCTTCCTTGTTGGCTCCTTGGTGCTCTTTGAGCTTGGTGGTTTTCTTACAGACATTTCATGACCCAACTAGGGAACATCATCAGTGCTAGAAGAGAAGAGAAGGGGGTGGGGCTTGCAGAGAGGAGGAGGAGGAGGAAGAGGGAACTGGAGGTCCTGGCTGCTCTGTGAACTTGGTGGTTTTCTTGCAGACATTTCATGACCCAAAAGATCAGTGCTGGAAGGGAGTGGAGTTCTAGTAGCACTGACGAAGTTACCTAGTTGGGTCATGAAATGTCTGTAAGAAAACAACCAAGCTCAGAGAGCATCAAGGACCCCGCAGCCCTTTTCTTCCTCCTCCTCCTCCTTCCTCCTCCTCTACAAACCCTGTTCCCTTTTAACACTGACAAAGTTACCTAGTTGGGTCATTAAACGTCTGCAAAAAAACAACCAAGTTCAGAGAGCATCAAGGACCGCACAGTTAAACCCTGAGCTGTAAATATTCTTGTCAATCGGTTAGCCCTTGCTTCCCCAGTTTGAGGGTGGGGATTAAACCAGCTTGAGGAGCTCCATCAGAGATGCCCCCTCTACCCTTAGATCCTTCTGCAAACCTCCAGCTCAACATCTTTTCCTTCTTGTGTCTTTTGAAAGTGTTTTATGAGCAGCATGTTCCCCCCCGGACGTCCGAGTACCTAAAAAAAAATGACCTCTTAAAGTTTCTCCCTCAAGGTGCAATCCGAAATCAAGAGAAAATGGCGGAGCTGGAAAGTCAACCGTTATTTTGCTGTGGATTTCAAACACCGCCATCCCTCCCTGGCAAGCAGCGGTGTCAACGGGGGGACTCAACTGTCCATCTTGAGCAAGAGCAGCTCGCAGATTCGGATGTCCAGCGTCCATGCCGAGAACTTGGCCACATGAGCCCGTAAGACCCCGCTTCTTCTCCCACCGATTAACCCTACTTTGGACACCACGAAAGGACCATATTTAGGCCTAAATATGATGGCTTTCGGGGTATTACTTCCGTCTGCCTTTTTTAAAAATAATAATAATAATAAACAAATCCACCTCCCTTTGATGGAAAGTTTCTGGGGTTCTGAAGCTTGTCATCTCTGATGGGTGGAAAAGGAGCTCCACAAAGAGGTCCCATCTAGGGGAACGAGGTCCTCCAGACCAAAATCACCTCGATACACCCGTTGTCCCAAGAGCTGAAACCCTCCCATCACTTCCGTTCCTCATTTCCCTGGTACCATTGATGAATTTTTGGGGTCTCCAAGACGAGGGCCATGAGTGAACATCTCATGAAGTTGGGGTGTCTCATGTCCAAACGCTTCTGATCCCAACATCTTGGACCACCGGTGTCCTCTTTTGGGACCTAGAATGTCATGCACCGTAATGGTTTCCACTTACCTTCGCTATCATTTTGGAACTGTAAGCATGCATGCACGCTTACTTTGCTCATGCGCAGCACTTCTGCACATGCTCAGAGCATCCATGATGACGTCCAGGCAGCTGGGTGGAGCCTCCCGCCGCTACCGGTTCACCCAAACCAGTAGAAACCCACCACTGGTTATGCAAACACTGAGCCAGGGGTGACCCCCCTCACCCCCCCCAATGGTGGTGGGCATTGCGGTCGCAGAGACGGATCCTACCAGAATTGGTTGAGAGCCCTCATTCCTTAACCACCTCATTCCTCAGATGGAAAATCCCCCAACCCTACAAGTGGAAGGTCTCCGATTTTCCCCCTTTGAGGAAACTATCTGAATTATTTTGTTTTGTTTCTTTCGTTAAGCTACGGATCTTCTAAAATGGCCATCTCAGTACCATAGAGTTATATTTTTTGAGACAGATGGTTTTTTTTTCTTTCTTTCCTTGTTTTTTTTTTTTAAAAATAGAACTAATATGGAGATAGATTATATGTATTTCCCGACATTAAGTGCCGATTAATTCCGGAGATACTTTTTCTCCCAGACTTCTGACACGACCCCTTCCATGGCTAACGAGTGACAGAAAATAGGGTGAGGGGAGGGACTTCGAAGGGAGGATTTGGGTTGACTATCAAAAAGTGTGTGCGGCATGTTATCAAGGCATGGTTCACCCCAAAAGGGCAGATGGGTTATGTAGTTGGAGGAGGAGATTCATTGGGGGGATCTTAAGAGAGCCACCTGCCTTTTCTTCCTCCTTCCTTCCTTTTTTTTGTTTCCTTCCTTCTTTCCTTCCTCCCTCCCTCTCTTTTCTTTCTCTTTCCCTTTCATTTTTATCTTTTTTCCTTGCTTCCTTCCATCTCTTCCTTTCTTCCTCCCTTCCTCCCCTTTCTTCCTTCCTTCTTCCCTTTTTTCTTTCCTTTCTCCTCCATCCCTTTTTTCTTTTTTCCTCTCCCTCCCTCCCTTCCTTCTCTCCCTCCCTCTCCCTTCCTTTTTTGTTTCTTTCCTTCCTCTCCCTCTCTTCCTTCCTTCCTCCCTCCTTTCTCTTTCCCTTTCATTTTTATCTCTTTTCCTTCCTTCCTTCCCTCCCTCTCTTCCTTTCTCCCTCACTTTCTCTCCTTCCTTCCTTCCTTCCTTCCTCCTTTTTTCATTTTTTCTTTCCTTTCTCCTCCATCCCTTTTTTTCCTCTCCCTCCCTCCCTTCTCTCCCTCCCTCCCTCTCCCTTCCTTCCTTTTTTCCCTTCCTCTCCCTCTCTTCCTTCCTCCCTTTTCTCTTTCTCTTTCATTTTTATCTTTTTCCTTGCTTCCCTCCATCTCTTCCTTTCTCCCTCTCCCTCCCTCCCTCTCTTCTTTCTCCCTCCTTTTCTCTCCTTCCTTCATCCCTCCCTTTTTTCATTTTTTTCTTTCTTTTCTCCTCCCCTCTTTTTTCTTTTTTCCTCTCCATCCTTCCCTTCTCTCCAGTGGTGGGATTCAGCCAGTTCGCAGCACTTCGGTTGTTAACTTTCTGAGCAGTTTGGTGAACTGATTGTTGGAAGAAATCATTAGGGCAGAGAAGCGGTTGTTAAATTATTTCAATCCCACCACTGCTTCTCTCCCTCTTCCTTCCTTCCTTCCTTCCTTCCTTCCTTCCTTCCTTCCTTCCTTCCTTCCTTTCCTTTCCTTTCCTTTCCTTTCCTTTCCTTTCCTTCCTCTCTCCCTCTTCCTCCCTCCCTCCCTTTCTTCCCCCTATTTTGCACAGCTGGGGTATTTTCTATGATTAGCCATTATTACTAGTAAAAAAAAAAAAGAGGGTGGAAATTTTTTTATTAAGGCTTGGAAGGAAGAAGTGGGTTCTTCTAACCCCCACCTTCAATTCAGAGCCCCTTCTTTTGCGTAGCTGCTTTCAGCCGAACTCAACCAACGATGTCAGTTTTTTTCCCCGTGAGACTCTTGTGTCATGCACGACGTCTCCAGAGGACTTTTGTGGTGTTTCGTGGGCTGTGTGAGTCTCTCCTCCATGTTTCAAGATCCTCTCTAATCGGTGTGACTTCATATGTGTGTGTTTGCGTGTGTGTGCATACCTTAAAGAGGACTATCCTATTTTATTAAAATGGTAAGGAATAAATGCTCACCGCAGCTAAGAAATGGAAGAAGAAATTCTGCTTAATAAAAGGTTTGGGGAAAGGAAAAGGGAAAATGCTTAAGTTGCTTCCTACGCATTGAGTAGCGTGAGATTCTTTGCACCTGCTCCTTCCACCCTGCAGTTTTGGGGCGGCTTTCTACTACAGGTAGTCTTTGACTTATAACCAAAACTGAGCCCAACATTTCTGTGGCTAAGTGAGAAATTTGTTAAGTGAGTTTTGCCCCATTTTACAACCTTCCTTGCCACAGTTGTTAAGTGAGCCACTGTAGTTGTTGACAGTCAGTCACACGGTTGTTATGTGAATCTGGCTTCCCCTTCTGACTTTGTTTCTCAGAAGGTTGCAAAAGGGGATCACATGACCTCGGGATGCTGCAGCCGTCATAAATACGAGACAGTTGCCAAGTGTCTGAATTTTGGTCATGGGATCCTGGGGATGCTGCAGCGGTCGTAATTTTGAAAAATGGTCATAAGTCATTTTTTTCAGCGCCGTTTTAACTTCGAACGGTCACTAAATGAACTGTTACAAGTCAAGGACTACCTGTATAAAGAAGGACAGGATAAAATGCCATTTAACCATTGTCACATAATTCTTTGGTTCTCCAGGTTTCTCTTGGAAGCAACTTATCTCTCCTTATATAAGCCACAACCAAGGTTTTCATTTTGGCTTACACTCCAACTCACTTGTATATTTGGTGTAGAATCTGCAATAAAAGGGGATTTGAATGATGGACAGGCTGGGTTCTAATTGTCCTGAGCTACCTTGGCAAAGCTGTCAGTACCAGTGCTTTGATAGTCTGCATTCCTTCCTCTGTTGTGCAACTCCTTCCTTCCTTCCTTCCTTCCTTCCTTCCTTCCTTCCTTCCTTCCTTCCTTCCTTCCTTCCTTCCTTCCTTCCTTCCTCCCTTTTCCCTTTACTTCCTTTCCTTTCTCCTCCCTCCCTCTCTTTCCTTCTTTCCCTCTGTCTCTCTTTCCTCCCTCCCTCCCTATCTTTCTCTCCTCTCCTCTTACCTATTCCTTCCTTCCTCCTCCTTTCCTCTCCTTTCTTTTTTCTTTTCTTTCTCTTCTGTCTTTCTTTCCACCCTTTCCTCTCCTCTCCTCTTCCCTCCCTCCCCTTGCTGCCTTCCTTCCCCTCCCCTCTTCCTCCCTTCCTCTCTTTCTTCCACCCACTCTCCCTCCCTCCCTTTCATTTAGAGAGCACCGAAAAATACCCCCCCACCCAGAAGGAGAAAGCCAGATAAGCTGTGAATAACACCAGACAAACGATCAAGCAGAAAACAATACCTTAATCAAGGAATTATTAAGGAGAAAATAACATTTCCACTAACATTGAGAGGGCAAGCCACTGCTGTAGATAAACGAAGAGGAAACCCCCTTCCTTTCTAGCCCTGATGATGTTACCTACTTGGGGAATGAAATGTCTGAAAGAAAACCACCAAACTCAGAGATCATCAAGGGCCCCACAGTCCTGAAATTAAAATAGTTTGGTGGCAAGAAACCGAGGACAATTTCTGGGAAAGATTGAAACCAAGTCCTTTCGAATTTTCTGGTACAATCCTCCACTAAAATGCCTAAAATTGTAGCAAGAAATACAGACAACATACTTTTAAAACACTTGTTACAAATTAAGGGGAAATGGACAAAACAGATGAATACAGGCAGTCCTCAACTTACAACCATTCATTTAGTGACTGTTCAAAGTTACCCCAGCACTGAAAAAAGGGACTTATGACCATTTTTCACACTTCTGACCACTGCAGTTGCCCCCAAGGTCAAAATTTGCTTGGCAACTGACTCATATTTATGACTGTTTCCCCAGGGGTCACATGATCCCCTTTTGCAACCTTCTAACAAGCCACGTCAATGGAGAAGTTAACTGCCGTGTGACTAACTTAACAATTGCAGTGGTTCACTTAACAACCATGGCAAAAAAGATCGTAAAATGGGGCAAAATCCCCCCCATCAGCCATCTTGCTGAACAATGGAAATTTTGGGCTCAATTGTGATTGTAAGTGAAGAACTATCCGTGTTGGAAAATTAAAAAGTGATGGAAGAATGTACATATTGCACATCTTTTTCCTAAAAGTTCCATCTCTCTCCCTAAAATCTCTTAAAATTAGAGCAAATTTAAATCTATAACTCTTGCTTGAGAGTAAATCATATGGACTGAATTCCATTAGCTTCCGAAGGTCTTACTAGTAGACAATTGTCACAGGATTACATACAGATACTCCTTGTTTTACGACTACCATTGAGGCCAAAATTTATGACACTTGAGCAGGGGATTGGATTAGAAAACCAGCTCTGATATTCTGTCATTCAAATACCCAGCAGGGCTGGACCATCAGGCAAAGCTAATCCAAATTCATAATTTTATACAATTTTATAAAGCAAGACAATTGTTAAGTGACTTTTGCCCCATTTTATGACCTTTCTTGCCACAGTTGTTAAGCGAATCATCGCAGTTGTTAAGTTAGTCACACGGTTGTTAAGTGAATCTGGCTTCCCCATTGACTTTGCTTGTCAGAAGGTTGCAAAAGGGGATCACATGGCCCCCAGGATGCTGCAACCGTCATAAATATGAGTCAGTTGCCAAGCATCCAAGTTTTGATCACATATGTATTCTTGGTAGTGCTGCAACAGTCGTTAAGTGTGAAAAATGGTCATAACTCACTTTTTTCAGCGCCGTTGTAATTTCCAACGGTCACTATATCAACTGTTTGCAGATCGAGCACTACCTGTAATTAATAAACCAGTGCCAAATTGCTTTAGAGTAAGCCCACTGGGGGAGTTGGTTTACTTTGGAGTAACGGACTTAAGATCCTATGGACTGATATTTTTGAATCCCAGTTTTACAACGTTTTGTGGTTGTGGGAAAAGTTCCCAGTTGCTCTTCTGCACAAAAACATTTTGTTATGTTTGTTTTCTCTTGACTGTCCAACAAAATGAATGTATTTGCTGAATGAATGAGTCAAGCATCTCTCTTTTTTTCATTTGTCAGGCGGTAGAAACCTAATGGCCAAGATTTGCTTCTAAAGCTGATGTAAATATCTCTTTTTGCGTTGAAACCGTGCTCTGTTTCTTCTTCTTTTTCCACTGTGAACTATCTTTTGGAGTTTGAGGATCTATGTTATTAAAAAAGAAAACAAAAAGCAAGTGTAATTATAACAAAGTTTATTGAGAATAAAATATTTGTTGTGACACGGTCTTGAATTTTTTTAAAAAACCGTTCTCAAAACAGAGGGATTATCTACCTGTCGATTATATTTCTAAGCCACTTAATTCAAAAACAAGTTCCTTTCTTCTTTACTTATACAAAACAGCCTTCAGCTTCTCTTGACTTTGTAGACTGAAAATAACTCCAGATTAGTTCTCGGGTTACGACCATAATGAAGCTTGCCCAGTACGATGATAAGTTGTAACAGTCGCAAAATGACAATTTGGTTTTTTTTGCGGTGGTCATTAAACGAACGTGGCAGTCGTAAAAGAAATGCCATGATTGTTAAATGAATTGATGATTCAATACCTTGCTCAATAGTAGTAACTGTGAGAGGGATCTTGGAGTCCTAGTGGGCAACCATTTAGATATGAGCCAGCCGTGTGCAGCAGCTGCCAAAAAAGCCAACACAATCCTAGGCTACATTAACAGAGGGATAGAATCAAGATCATGTGAAGTGTTAAGACCACTTTAACAATGGTGGGTTTCAAAAAATTTTACTACCGGTTCTGTGGGTGTGGCTTGGTGGGCGTGGCAGGGGAAGGTCCCAGCAAAATCCCCATTTCCTCCCAGTCAGCTGGGACTTGGGAGGCAGAGAATAGATGGGGGTAGAGCCAGTCAGAGTTTTTACTACCGGTTCTCTAAACTACTGAAAATTTCCGCTACCGGTTTTCCAGAACTGGTCAGAACCTGCTGAAACCCACCTCTGCACTTTAATAAGGCCTTGGGAAGGCCACACTTGGAATATGGCATCCAGTTTTGGTCGCCACGATGTAAAAAAGATGTTGAGACTCTAGAAAGAGTGCAGTAAAGAGCAACAAAGATGATGAGGGGACTGGATATATGAAGAACGGTTGCAGGAACTGGGCATATCTAGTTTAATGAAAAGAAGGACGAGGGGAGACATGATAGCAGTCTTCCAATATCTCAGGGGCTGCCCCAAAGAAGAGGCAGTCAAGCTATTCTCCAAAGCTCCTGAGGGTAGAACAAGAAGCAACGGATGGAAACTAATCAAAGAGGGAAGCAACCTGGAATTAAGGAGAAATTGGTGGTGAATTTCAGATCCAGATAAATCCCCTTTTCAGGTCAGTCGTAATTGTGTGACTGGTTGTAGATCAAGGACTATATGTGCTTGACAAATTGTAGATCCTTTAAAAAAAAAACACTATTATCTTATCCTTAGACTCTAGAAAAGTGCAGAAAAGAGCAACAAAGATGATTAGGGGACCGGTGGCTAAAACATATTTTGTCTGAAATGATATAGAGCTCCCTGTGGCAGCGTGGAAGCTTCTGGTGTTAATATGGAGTTGGGGCTTTCTGGAACGCTGACACCCTGCTTGGGAAGAGGGTTGGGCTAGAAGACCTCCAAGGTCCCTTCCAACTCTGTTATTCTGTTATATGAAGAATAGTTGCAGGAATTGGGCATCTCTAGTGCAAAAAAGAAGGAGTAGGGGAGACATGATAGCATCTTCCAATATTTGAAGGGCTGCCACAAAGAACAGGAAGATCCACCTATTCTCCAAAGCCTCTAAAGGGCAGGACAAGAAGCAACGGATGGAAACTGACCAAGGAGAGAAGCAACCTGGAACTAAGGAGAAACTTCCTGACAGTTAGAACAATTAATCAGTGGGACAACTTCTGTCCAAAAATTGTGGATGCACTGGAGGTTTTTAAGAAGAGCTTCGACAACCACTTGTCTGAAATAGTATAAGGTCTCCTGCTTGAGCAGGGGGTTGGACTAGATGATCTCTCCAAGAGCCCTTCCCTTATTCTGTTAGACTACTTTACGTGATCCCGATGTCAAAAATTTAGCACACTTCCTTAACTGATATCCTCCAGATGTGTGTGGACTACAGCCAAGCACAATTGCCGGGAATTCTGGGAACTAAAATAGTCACATCTGCATTAAGGCAAGAGATGATTTTACTAATTCAGATGTTCTGATGTCAGAACTTGTTAAAATAAATCAGGGAGGGAGGGATAGAAAGGGGGGAAAAGGCCACCTCTGTAACACACTCACCAAATATTTGAACCAATCAGGAAAGAAAGAAAGAAAAAGAAAGAAAGAAAGGAAAGAAAGAAAGAAAGAAGGAAAGAAAGGAAGAAGAAGAAAGAAAAAGAAAGAGAGAGAGAAAGAGAGAAGGAAGGAAGGAAGAAAGAAGGAAGGAGAGGAGGGAGGAAAGAAAAAAAGGAAAGAGAAAGAAAGAGAGAGAGAGGAAGGAAACACACACACACACAGAGAGAGTGACTCTCTCTGTATACAGTCATCTGAAACAATTGGAAGGAAGGAAAGGAAAGGAGGGAGGGAGGGAGAGATAGGGACAAAATATTTATCTATTTATCTAGCTCCTCCTCTCCATCCATCTCTCTCTCTCTCTCTCTCTCTCTCTCTCTATCCATCCATCTCTATCTCTATCTCTACATCTCTATCTCTATCATCTCTATCTCTATCTCTATCTACTATCTATCTATCTATCTGCACCTGAGTGGCGCAGCAGACTAATGCTACAGGTAAAGGTAGTATTTAGCTTCCAGCTGCCTGCAATTACTGCGAGTTCAATCTCATCAGGCTCAAGGTTGACTCAGCCTTCCATCCTTTCTAAGGTAGGTTAAATGAGGACCCAGTTTGTGGGGGCAATAAGCTGACTTTGTATAAATATACAAAAGTATGAAGGCTATTGCTTAACGCACTGTAAGCCGCCCTGAGTCTCCGGAGAAGGGCAGCATATAAATCAAAATTAAAAAAATAAATAAATCTCTATCTCTATCTATCTATCTATCTATCTATCTATCTATCTATCTATCTATCCATCCATCTCTACCTCTCTCTCTCTCTTTATCTATCCATCCATCTATCCATCCATCCATCTCTACCTCTACTTCTACCTCTATCTCTACCTACCTACCTACCTACCTATCAATGTCTCTATTCAGAAGCCAGTTTAAAGTCACCTAAACTTTAGACATTTTCACACAGACACACAGACACACCAAAGCTTCTATTTCTTCTGCTTTTGAGATTGGCTGAGAGGTTGCCTTGGTTCTGGACTCGCCTCCCAGGGACCCCCCCACTCCCTCCCTCCAGTCAAGATGACCCTGGGGATACCCACAGGGCTTGGCCAAGGAAGACGAGATGGTAGCCAGGATAATATAATGGCCACTCCACCTGTTTTATACATCAAAACCAGGCAGAACTGTCATCACACCACCCTAGGAGCCATCTCTTAAAAGTCATATTTTAAAACTATTTAAAATACATTAAAACAGTAAAAAAAAAAAATCCACAAAATAATCAATATATAGTTAGTTAATTAGTCCCCGGCTTACAGCCATTCATTTAGTGACCATTCAAAGTTCCAAAAGCAACGCAAAAAGTAACTTATCTGTATCCGTATGCTCTCTACATGGGGCTCCCCTTGAGGAGCACCCGGAAGCTCCAGCTGGTCCAGAATGCGGTCGCGCGGGTGGTTATGGGAGCGACGTGGCACTCCCATGTGACCCCCCTCCTGCGCAAGCTGCACTGGCTCCCGGTGGTCTTCTGGGTGCGCTTCAAGGTTTTGGTTACCACCTTTAGAGCGCTCCATGGCATTGGACCGGGGTATTTACGAGACCGCCTTCTGCCACCAATAGCCTCTCACCGCCCAGTACGCTCCCATAGAGAGGGGCTCCTCAGGGTGCCGTCGGCCAAACAGTGTCGACTGGCGGCCCCCAGGGGGAGAGCCTTCTCTGTGGGGGCACCTACCATCTGGAACAGGCTCCCCCCGGAGATACGGAGGATCCCGGACCTGCGCACGTTTCATCATGCTCTCAAAACTTTTTTATTTCAGCAGGCTGGCCTGGCCTAACTCTCTCTCTTTTAAATTTTTAAATTGTTTGATTTGTTTTATAAATTGGGTGTTTTAATCTGTGTTTCGGCCAAAATATTTAATAATTTTAAGGGACTTTTAATATTTGTATTATCTGTATTTTATCTTGGCTGTTCACCGCCCTGAGTCCTCCGGGAGTAAGGCGGTATAGAAATTTGATAATTTTTTTTTTTTAAATTTGATTTATATGCCTCCCTTCTCCGGAGACTCAGGGCGGCTTACAATGCGTTAAGCAATAGCCTTCATCCTTTTGTATATTTATACAAAGTCAACTTATTGCCCCCACAATCTGGGTCCTCATTTCACCGACCTTAGAAAGGATGGAAGGCTGAGTCAACCTTGAGCCTGGGGAGATTTGAACCTGCAGAAATTGCAGGCAGCTGTGTTAATTACAGGGTGCATTAAACCACTGTACTACCAAGGCTCCTTAAATAAATAAATAAATAAACTTAGGATCATTTTTCCCACTTATGACCATTGCAGCATCCCCATGGCCACGTGTTCGAAATTCGGCAACTGATTCATATTTATGACGGTGGCAGTGTCCCGGGGGTCATGTGATCCTCTTTTGTGACCTTCTGACAAGCAAAGTCAATGGGGAAGCTGGATTCACTTAACAACCGTGTTCCTCACTTAACAACTGCAGTGATTCACTTAACAACTGAAAGGAAGAAAAGTCATAAAATCCAGCAAGACTCACTTAACAGCTGTCTTGTTTTCCAAAGGAAATCTTGAGGTCCATTGCGGTCTTAAACCGAGGACTAACACTAAACAGTTCCAGCTCTTTGATGCATCAAGCTAAATGTGAGACATCTTTGAAAAAAAGATGTGGGATCTTTTGGCCATCAAACTCCGTGCTTTTATTGATAAACTAAATGTTTAAATCCCTTCGAAGGAACAGAATATTTGAAGCCGTGACCTGAAGCAAAGTGGAAATTCACATTAATGGTGGCTGATTTCACATCTTTAGGCAAGAAGATGGAATTATCAGAATGAGACGAAAAAAGAATGACCATCAAAGTCCATCTTTATGGCCCAACTTATTTTGAACTCTGAATGATGGCTTTCGGGCAAACAGAACCCTTCAGTGATGAATAGACTTTTGTGGTAAATAACGC